TTTAGATGAATCAATCAATATAATTAAGTTAAAAGGTTATAAACCAAAATATTTTGGTTAATACAAGTGAAAATTTAGATGAATCAATCAATATAATTAAGTTAAAAGGTATAAACCAAAATATTTTGGATAATGGAAGTGAAAATTTAGATGAATCAATCAATATAATTAAGTTAAAAGGTTATAAACCAAAATATTTTGGATAATACAAGTGAAAATTTAGATGAATCAATCAATATAATTAAGTTAAAAGGTTATAAACCAAAATATTTTGGATAATACAAGTGAAAATTTAGATGAATCAATCAATATAATTAAGTTAAAAGGTTATAAACCAAAATATTTTGGATAATGGAAGTGAAAATTTAGATGAATCAATCAATATAATTAAGTTAAAAGGTTACAAACCAAAATATTTTGGATAATGGAAGTGAAAATTTAGATAAATCAATCAATAAATTACTGCTTCGTTTTGTTGTTTCTTTTAAATAAATTCTTTTAAATAACATCTGAATAAAATAAACTGTTTTGTTGTTATTGGAACCATAGAAGAAAATATTTCAATTGTTTTTTTATTTCCTGTTAGCTTGATAGACAAGAAGAATATAAATTGCAAAAATTTTGCAAAAATTAAAATCATTTTGCCAGCATCATCCGAAATCCCTCAAACTTTAAAATATTTTGGAGACCCCACATGCGGTAGTAAATTCCGATGGAATTATTCCGCAAAATCCCGCACGCGGCAAAATCCCTCAAATTGAAACGATGCGGGATTTCGGGAGTGGGGTCTCAGAAAATCCCGCGCGGAATCTCTTCCCGCGCGGATAAATAATTTAAATTTAAAGTTGAGGTTTGCGCCATCTGTTTGAATACGAAAAACCCTGTGGAGTTAGATGTGAAAGTTCAACCCGCGTTCCTTTTTCAAAAAAAAAATAATCTCCATGGGAAACGAAAAAAGAAAACGTGATAAATCGATCAGTTTGGATAGTGAAAGTGATAAAGCACCGCTTTTATCACCAGAACAACTTGAACAAATTTCTCGTAATGTGGTTCAACTTCTTACACCAATAATCGAGACAACAATTAAAACTCTTTTTCAACAATTAAATCAGCAAACTAGCAACAGTCAACAAACTTTTGAACTCAAACAGCAAACATCAAGATGGGGATGTCCCCCCAATCTAATGCCACCAAAAATTCAACAAGCTGCTACAACAATTGAACACCTTCATCAGCCTATATTCGATGAGAAACTCAAGGAACTTTATGAAAAGAAGAAATTCTACGCAGTAATCGAAAGATTTCCTGAATTAGAAAACGAAGAAGAAGACATTAAAGCTATAGAAAAAAACGTTCAGATGGTGGTAAATGACAAAAATTTCAAGGATATTAAGACTTTCGAAGTAAAAAGGCACGGAATTAAGAAGAAAAATAATTACAACCGCATCATCAAAGTAAAATTTTCGACTCCTTCTGCAGCACATTCTTTTATCAATCAATATAGAGCCATACACCAACCTAAATTAGGTGGGCATAGTCCATTCGCAAGAAGGGACTTGACCCCTCCTGAACTACAACTACAAAACTTCCTTAAACAGCAGGTTAAGGAAATCAATCATAAACATGGAAATGGCACTGCATGTTACCGTAATCTTAAAATTTATTATAAAAAGAAAGTGAACTTGGACTAGGATTTAGGGACCTCACAGAAAAATATTCAAAAAAATATAAGCAAATTTAAAAATTTTAAATGCCTTCTTCTAAATATACGCTCCATTAATTCAGATAAAATCGCATATAAATTATTTGAGCTAGAAACTTATCTAAATAAAAACAATATTTATCTCACATTTTTATGTGAAACCTGGCTAAATGATCAAATATCCAGCGAAACTCTTTTAATCTCCGATAACTATAAATTCTTAAGAGTAGATAGAGTTAAAGCTAGAGGCGGAGGTGTAGGTGTATTTTATAGGAAGGAACTAAAAATCGTAACTGTACCAAACCTTTCAGTATCAGAATTTAATCATGAACTACTAACTTTTGATATTTACTCAGAATTTAAAAGAATTAGATTCCATTTAATATATAGGCCGCCTAATACTAAATTAACCGATGATAAAAAATTTTGGCGTCTAATAAAGCAAAAATATAAAAACGAAGTTTCAACTATCATATTAGGGGACTTAAACTATCCGAAAATTAATTGGCAGGAGTTTGCATTTCCTAAAGATAAACAGAGCTTATATTTTTACAATACTATGAATGAACTAAATCTAAATCAGATAATAAAAGGAGCAACAATGTACAATAATGACCATACACTAGACCTGGTTCTCCAAAACAAACAATTAGTCGAAAACTATAAAATTGAGAGTAATTTAATTTTAAGTGATCACAAACCTATAGTATTCGAGTTAGTCTTCCCAATTGAAAAAATAACATCTAGGGAAAAAAGGAAAGTATTATTATTTAAAAAAGGAAAATATAAGGCAATCAATTGGTATCTAGCACAATATGACTGGTATAACTTATTAAATAATAAAAATCCTTCAGAAATAACTGAAATACTAAATAACATAATGACACAAGCAATACAAAAATTCGTACCTTTTAAAAAATTTGGTGAAAAAATACCCATAAAATACCCCAAAGAAATTAGAGAAACCATCAAACAAAAGTCCCTTGAATGGAAAAAGTTAAAATTAGGAGAAATTAGCCGGGATGAATATAAAAGTTTCGAAATTAAATGTAAATTGAAAACTCAAAAATATAGAAACGATTATCTATCAAAAAAGATAGGATCAGGCCACATAGGGGAGATACATAAATTAATTAAAAGGAAAAAATTTAACTTCTCTGGTATACCAATACTTAAAGAATCTGAGGAAAGTGAACCTATAGTATATGACACTGACAAAGCTAGAAAATTTAAAACTATTTTCGAAGAAGTCGTTAGCGGAGATACAAGCCATAAACATGTAAGCTTTGATGCTGAAGATGCATATAGGGGTGGTGAAAATATTTTTGAACCATATATTATAGAAAAATTACTCAAAAAGCTCCCAAATAAATTGTCTCACAGCCCTGAAATTGCTAATCAATATTTTCTTAAAAAATGTGCTACACCACTAGCTCTTCCTCTATCAATCTTATTTGAGAAGACATTTAAGACAGGAATTGTTCCTGAATTATGGAAAATGGCACATATTCTGCCTATATTTAAAAAAAATGGTTCATTGAATGACCCTACAAATTATAGACCAATTGCTTTAACATCCCCTACTTGTAGAGTTTTTGAGCGCATTATAGCAAATAATATCTTAGAACACCTTAACAAACAAAAATTAATCGCAGAAGAGCAATTTGGATTTTTACCTAAAAGCTCTTGTACACTTCAAATCTTGTCATCGATGCAAGACTGGTATAGTTCACTTGACAGGAAAATAGGTACAGATGTTATATATTTTGACTTTGAGAAAGCCTTTGATAAAGTAAACCACGAAATACTAATTAGAAAATTGCAAGAATTAAAAATAGATCGATTAATAATTCAATGGGTAGCGAATTTTCTCTCAAATCGATCACATAGTGTAAAAATAGAAGAACATTTTTCCGAACCATTTATCCCAAAAACAGGAGTCCCACAAGGGACGGTCTTAGGTCCATTACTTTTCTTAATTTATATAAATGACCTTCCAAAATATATTCCACAAAATGTTAAAGTAAAACTTTATGCGGACGATTTTAAGATTTATTCAGAAATTAAGACGGAAAAGGACTGTATAGAGTTACAGGGGGCTATAGACAATGCGTGTAAATGGGCAGAAATGAATCAACTTAAATTCTCTATAGCAAAAGTAAAGGTTTTAAAAATATACAACAAAATTAAGTTTAACTATGAGATAAATGGTAAAAAAATCGAAGAGGTTAATAACATAAGAGATCTAGGGATATACATAGATAACAAGCTAAAGTTTGATCATCATATATCAAAAATTACTAAATCCTCATTTATAAGAATTAACAATATCCTAGGAATATTACCAAAAACATTACCAATAGAAACATATGTAAAGGCATTCAAAACATACGTAAGACCAATTATGGAGTATTCCACCGAAAATTTTAGCCCCAAATTAGAATATCTTAATAAACAATTAGAAAGACCACAAAAAAGCTTTACAAGGAGAATTTTAAGATATAAATACAAATACCAGAAAATAGAATATAACGAAAGACTAAAAAGATGCAAACTCCTTCCCTCCAATCTCCGTCGTATAAAAACTGATCTTATGACAACCTACAAAATAATCATGGGTTTCTATAAAATAAATCCAGAAAAAATATTTTCAAAACCTAATAGAATTAATCCGCGCTTACATAAATATCAGCTATTTAAAAAGCAAGCCAAAAATAATCATTTCTTTTCACATAGAGTCATAGATAGATGGAATAAACTTCCAAAAAAAGAAATTGAGAAAATCAATACTATACCGCAATTTAAAAAATTTTTAGACAAAATATTAACTACAGAAGATTATAATTTATGAGTATGAATTAATGGAGTGTATTAACATAAAATCTTAACCCAAATGTTCACTTTCTTATCAAAACAAGTTTACTTAACATTTAAATAAAATTACCTGTGTTCAATACAAATATTTTTTTATACACCTAAATATACCTACATATATTTTTTATAACATTTTAATTTCATACATTTAATTTATTTTTTTTTTTCTGTGGAGTCCATTATTTATTTTTTTTCTAACTTATCATTTTTTTTTAAAAAATCTGTCATATTGTATTTGATTTTTTTTGTACGTTACCTCTCCATAAGTGATCCCTGTGGATCCAGGAGTTTTTATTTTATTGTTTCACACTTATTTATTTGTGTTCGATAAAGAAAAAAAAAAAAAAAGAATTAATTTACTATAAAAGTCTTCATTTTACTGACACTTTATATGTCATAAGTTTCATAATTTGTAATTTTTGAGTTTCTATGTTTATTTTCCATGTTCTTTCGTAATAAATTTTATTTCGTATTTTATTTTCTCCATCTACTTATCTAATTATTCGATTTTTATTCTTTTTAGAAAGCAAAAAATTTTCACAAAAATTAAATTCTTTATTCTTATTGGATATTCGTATTATTTCTAAATCTTACTTCTACCAATTATTACACAATGAATAGCAGCCAGTTATGGAAAGTTCCATACTTTCATGGCCTTGTTAGTTATAAGATCTTTAAAATAAAAGTAAATAAAACATTTAGATTGATCGATCTGACGCATTTGATTTATTGACCAACAATGGTGATTATCTTGTTCGTATGTCAAAAAAAGAAGATAAACAAATTCTCATATTATCTTCAATCCAACAAAATATTGAAACAAATATTGAAATTTTCGTTAGGAACAATTTATATTACTTTGATTTTAATAAACAAGGATATACGACTTTACAAAATTTAATCGAATCACAAATTAATAATAAAGAAGAAAATCAGATAGTTTTAAAGAAGCCTATAAATAGAATGGAATGGGAACTTTGCCAAAATGATTTAGAGATTGGAAAAGTTTTAGGGAGTGGGATGTTTGGGATAGTTAAGAAAGCGAGATTAAAAGGAAGATTTGATGTGGCTGTTAAACAGGATTTAAATAATAGTGTTGGAATATACAAAGAAGCTAGTATTCTCAAGAATCTAAACCATGATAATATCGTTAGATTATTCGGTATTTTTTATCTTAAGAAAGATAATAACTTTTCTCAAAAACATTAATGTCATTGGGTCTTCTGACTTTTAGTATAATTTTGTAAAAATAAGATTAGGCTAAATATTTTGGATGGCATTTTTAAGATCATTTTTGTTTTTGAAAATACCTGTTTTATTCCACTTTTTAAAAAGTTTAAAAATATTAACAATAATTAATATAAAATTTAAATTAAATATTAGGTATTACTCTGGACCAAGAACCAATGTTACTTGTATTAGAATTTTGTTCAGGATGTTTATTGGATTATTTGAAGTTAAATACAAATTTGAAAAACTACTCAAAATTAATTTTGATAAAAGATGCAGCAAATGGTGTCGATTATCTTCACGAACACAATATTATCCACTGCGATTTAGCAGCTAGGAATTGTTTGATGGACAAAACTTTAAAAATCAAAATTACTGACTTCGGTCTTTCTACGAAATTAAAAGATGAAGAAGAAATTAATGTAGAAAAAAAAGCTAAATTACCAATCCCTTACCTTGCGCCTGAAACTTTTATCAGAAAAATTTTATCTAAAAAAACTGATGTCTATAGTTTTGGAGTTTTAAATTGGGAAATTTTTACAAATGGTAAAGTGCCGTTCAAAGGCCTTACGGATTTAGAGATTGCTAGAAAAGTTAGTTTTAAGCTAATGATAATTTTTAATTTATTTTTATTGCAGATAGTAAATGCTGAATATTTAACCTTTCCAACAAATACGCCAAACGATTTTATATCGAAAATTATCAAAAATATTTTTACTTTGGAAACCAAACGTTTTTTAATGAAGAAGATTCTGATTGAATTAAAAAATATTATTAAAAAATCTGAAGAGGGAGAAAACAAATTAAAGTCAATCGAAAATAAAGGAAGGAAGAGAAAGTGAAAGGAAGATATGTATTTGAAAAATAGAAAATTTGATTATTCCTATTACCTAATATTATTCTTATAAAAAATCCTACCCAAAAGGTTCCTATTACGCCAAATAATTATTTGAAACTGTTTTTTCTTTTTTATTAAGATCTTTCTCTCTTAAAATTCCTCTCATTTTTCTTTTTATGAAATATTCTCTTAAAATGCAAATATATGTACATTTTGTTGGCAAATCCAACCCAAAATGTTCCTATCGTTCCAAACAATTATTTAAAAAACTTTCTTGTTCTTTTTTTCTAAAATCTTTCTCTTTAAGAATTCCTCTCTCTCTATTTTTCTTTTTATGAAATATTCTCTTAGAATGTAAATAAAATTTGCTGGGGGTTTTTTTATATTTCTTGAGTAGAAACAACTTTTCACTTAAAATTTTCTATTCCACCTTCTTTAAAACTTGGATGAATATTTTTCACTGTTTAACTGAAAAAATTTATTCTAAATGATAATTAGATCACATTTTACATTGCCAAAAAGAGGATAAAAATGAGGAAAAATGACTGTTCAAACAGAAACATTTTAGCAAGTACAAGAAAGTAAAATTTCTATCTAAAAATTGATCTTGTAGCAAAAAAATAAAATTTGCCTAAAATTTCGTTAAAATTCCCACGAACTAAATTCCTAAAATTAAAATTTAAAATGTTAAATGTTAAAACTCCTAGGAAAAACACCAGTTTTAATTTTCTTTATCGTTTTTATTTTTTCAAAATATTTTCTAACCAAAAAAAATTAACCAAATACACACGTTACATATAAAATAAAAATTCTGTTTCAAATATTTACTCCTCCCTTCTTTTTCTTCGTTAAAATATCCAAATGTTTTGTAGCAATTAAATACAAGAATGGATTTCTTTCTTTTGTAACTATTTTTTGATTTAAATTAATTGAATATAAGGATAATAATTTATTTTCTTCTTGAATAATATTTTGGTCTTCCCCTTCCTCTTCTTGAATATTTTCTTCTTCATTTAATTTATTTAATAGAAAATCCTTTAAAAAAATCGTTAATAAAATCATAACACCACCAGAGATTCGAACCCCAACCCTATCGTGACCAATGCTGACGCCTTACCGACTACACCACAAACCTCATAGACCTACTTATTATTTTAACTGTTATGTGTAATTTAATAATTTACATGAGGCTAAGTAATTATAAAATTTTTTAGATACTTGAAACTCCCCTTTTGCATACACCAAAAATTAGATACACCTCTATTTAAGGTACATCTTTTATAATAGGGTAGGACCATGTGTGGAGGAAGCTAACCAAGCGTAACCCCCTATTTAAACTTTTTTAAAAATTAAAAAATAATTTACCACAAATTTTCCATTATTATCATTAATTAAAATATTCATTTGCCTAACAACATTTCTTTGTAACGACCAAAGTGTTTGTGCCATTTTTAATTTATTAATTTTTGGAGAATTATTTAAATAAATAATCAAAAGAATTATTAATCCAAAATTTTCATTTCCATTAGAAAATTCTTCAAAACATTTAAGTAAATCAACAAAACTTTAAAAATAATTTTTTTTTAATTTTTAAAAAAATAAAAAATTTTACAAAGGCATAAAAGCATCCAAACCAGCAATTGTGTCTTCCAATTGAAATTTTAACATTTTTTTGTTTGCTGATTCAATTAAAAATTTCTTTAAAATAATTCCAATTAATTCATTTATTGCTTCATTACAAAATATTTCTGGACCTTAAATTAAGAGGGGAAATTTTAGAAAAATTATTTAAAGTGTCTGACTCTATATGAAATATAAGGCTTTCTTTTAAAAGCAAAAAAATTCTTTGAAAATTTTTCAACTTAAAAAACACCCAACCAGCAATTGGGCAAGGATGGAAAAAGAGGAAGGAGAATGACCAAACCCCTTAGAAAGTGGTGGAAGAATAATAGAAAGGTATATGGTTGGAATGATGGGAGATCCAATGAAAAAAAACATATAACCTGGGTAGTAAGTTTTTTGCTAGTAAACGCCCAGTGAATGATGAGAATTTCAAATAGAGCTTTTCATTTTTAAAATAAAATTACCAATTAAAAAAACCTCCGCTAAACGAACACAAAAAGCATTGACAGAAGTTAGAGCCTTAAAAAGTGTTGGTTTTTCCAAAAACAGAGCAACTGTCCAAAGTAAACATAAATAAATAATTTCAACATCATCCAATGTTGGGGTAGTTGAACTTGAAAAGACAAAAATTTTGGAAAAAATTTTTAAATTTTACCCTCGCTGATTAACAGCATCCAAAACTTTACGGATTGGTATCTTTAAAAATTAAAAAAGTAATTATTAAAAAAAGGGTAGGCGCGCGGCCCGTGTATGGGCGCGGCCATACCGGCGCAAAGCCATAACTAGCTTCAAGATTTCTGAATCTTTCCAAATTTAGTATGCAACGATTCCTCCCATCGAGCTAAAGAAATTAGTACCAAAATTGATAAGGGCCAGAAATTTTCAGCAAGTTATGGCTTTGCGCCGTTATGGCCGCGCGCCTACTTGGGCGGATCCCTTAAAAAATTTTAAAAATTTTCAAACCAAAATCCAAGCTTCATTCACAAAAATATCAACAATTCCTTTTGCAAAAATCCAAGTTCTACGGCCAGTTGTTGTATCCTCACTAAAAAATATTTTATTTTAATTTTCTTTACAAAATTTAAAAAAAACATTTGTTCCAAATAAAGCGAGCGAATTTCTTCTAAACGTTCACAGCACATTCTAATAATTTGTTGTTCTCGATTTTCATTAATTTGTGGGTTTGTTGTAATTTTAGTATTTGAAAATTGGTCAAAGATTTTTAATATTTGTTGTTCCTTTCGTGGGAGAATATTCTTCATAAATTTAAATGCCAAATCCTGTTGAACTGGATCCTTAAAATGTTTTTTAAATTGAAAAATTGGGATTGTTAAATTTGTAAAAATAAAACAAGTTCCCTTAAGGAGATTCGAACCCTAATTATAAACTTATTGGGGGCAAGACTTGTTATTCTTCTCAATTAAACCCTAGCAACTACACAAAAAATGTCAGCAACTCAAGGAAAGACCTCTATGCCAAGAGCTCAATCATCGCAGGGCTATAACTTTGTACAAAAATTCAAATAAAAATGCCAAAAAACAAATTAGATTTGAAGATTTTGACGAGTTGAATCGAACATTGTCCCAGGTCCGTGATTCGTTAATTTCTTACAAAGTTGAAATCCCTATAACTAAACAGCTCGTAGAATAACTCGAATCTAAATGTCGCCCAGACAAAAATTTTATTAAATGTATACAACAAACTGAACTGGGTACTTTATGGATATGGGTACTTTATGGACATTTCACTCATTTCGTTTCTACATTTACCATATTTCACTTGTTTTGCTTGAAGAAGGCAAAATGATTGACATGGAGAAGAAAATAATCTCTGACCATTTTCTACGTTTAAGGAAAACAAATGAGACTCAAAATAGGAGGGGGGGGTGACATATCCATAAAGTACCCTGAACTGAACATTACCTATAAGGAAAGGTTGCGAGGTGTCCGACCTAAAAACGGCAAAACCGGGCTCATTCGATAGAAAATGTGCCCTTTGTAGCAAGGATTTTTTGATCTGTCCAAGATATATTTTCGATAAATTTTCGACTAATTTTCAACAAATTAAAACAAAGTCAAAGCCCAGTGACATACCAACTCTGAGGGTAACGAAACCCCCCTCCAAATTAAATTTCTATGGACTATATTTAATTTAAAAAATAATTAAACAACTTAACCATAGCCAAATGAGCACCACTTCCACCATCAATAAGTTTTGCTTCTTTTTCATTTTTCTCAACCAAACCAATAATTTCCAAATTTTTAATTGTCTCATTAATTAAATGTTCTTCTTCTTTCTTTTCTTCTTTTTTGTTTCCTTTTAATTTTGAACTGTCAAAGTGTTGAGAAAAAAGACTTTTTTGTCCTCTTTTAGTAAAAATTTTTTCTTTTTCTTTTTGTGAAGAATTTTGTTGTTGCCCTTCTTTTTCTTCATTAAATAAAACATTTTTTAAAACTTGAGGAAATCCTTCATTTTGTTGAATTTGTTGATTGTCGTCAAATTGGAAAGGAATACAGCGTTCTGGGAGTTCAAAAAATCCGGGGAAACGTTCCTAGAAAATAAAAGAAAAATTAGAAAAACTTTTCGGCTCTATATGAAAGGAATGCGGCACTCGAAATTTTTCGTCACTCAACATAAGTTCCCCTGTATAATTCTCTCATATTATATTTATGCCGTAGGTCTGTTGACTGTCTAGTTTCTGTTAACCGTCCGTATCTGTCCATGCTTCGACTGTCCGTGTTGCCTACTCACCTATTTCCTACTCATAATTATGGGGAGTAGGGAGAATTTTGAGTGCCCCATTCCTTTCATATTTCTTAAAATTTACCGTTATATTAAAAAGAACATTTTGCCTTTGTTGTTCTTCACTAATTTGTGCTTGTAATTCCCTCAAATCAAAGCGAACAGATTTTTGAGTTGGCATGTCTTTTTTTAGATTTTAACAGAAAATCTATAAATTAATATTTAAAAAAAAATTAAAAACGAAAAAAGACATGGAAAATTTAAAAGATAAGTAGCGACAAATTTAATGTCAAATAAAAATAAGCAAAAAATTTTGATTTAATTCGTTCATTTTTTAATGTTTAACAAAAATTATTTAAAAATTAGACAAAATGAGGAACTTTATTGTTCTGCCACAAGTCTTAGACTCATGCTAAAAATATGTATAGAGTAACAAAAGTTCTAATCATGATTATTGTGTTTTCCCTTATACATATAACGAACCTCTAGCACAAAGATGGGCCACTTGATCTTTCTATACAGTGGTGTGCATGTTTAGAACCACTGGTAAAATTATTTTTAAATCTTCATTAACTTTCTAAAACAATTCCAACAAGACAAATTGCTAATACAATTTTTATAGCATTTTTAATGAGCTTTTCATATATTGCTATTCCTTTCTCAAAATATACCTTATTCCTAGAAAATTTTCGTTTACTCAAACGCAGTCGTATTTTCATATGTGCAAATGTTTAAAACCACTTTGGGTTTTCCGACTTTATTTGGTCCGAAAATTCAAAAAAAATTCTGTAGACATTTCCATCGATACTGACATGAGCAGAGGTTCGAGATCTCGATGAAAAAAGTTACAGACTTCGTTTTTTTCCTTTTCTGCTCATGTCAGTATCGATGGAAATGTCTACAGAATTTTTTTTGAATTTTCGGACCAATTAAAGTCGGAAAACCCAAAGTGGTTTTAAACATTTGCACATATGAAAATACGACTGCGTTTGAGTAAACGAAAATTTTCTAGGAATAAGGTATATTTTGAGAAAGGAATAGCAATATATGAAAAGCTCATTAAAAATGCTATAAAAATTGTATTAGCAATTTGTCTTGTTGGAATTGTTTTAGAAAGTTAATGAAGATTTAAAAATAATTTTACCAGTGGTTCTAAACATGCACACCACTGTATAGAAAGATCAAGTGGCCCATCTTTGTGCTAGAGGTTCGTTATATGTATAAGGGAAAACACAATAATCATGATTAGAACTTTTGTTACTCTATACATATTTTTAGCATGAGTCTAAGACTTGTGGCAACAGTAAAAAACCGAAAATGTGAAAATCCATAAAAAAATTAGCTCAACAAATGTATTTACATGGCTTAATTTATTCAATTAACCATTCATCATCAAATCAACAAAAGATATTCTTCACCAAAAGGTAACCATTCAAATGAAACCATTGGCAAAGTAACCATCATCCAAATAACCATCACCCAAAGTTCCTCCATTATTCTCTTGATTCTCAATTCCATTATTCCCTCCTTGACCACCAAAAATGTCTAAAATGATGTTCAATTCATGATAAAATAATGATAAATTCACCTTTTCCTCCACCACTAAAATTATTCCCACGAACTCCAACAAAAACGTTTCCTTGATTTCCACCAAAAAGATTGGCTCCTCCTCCTCCTTGTCCACCAAAAGCATTACCTCCAACTCCATAAACGTTTCCTTGATTTGCACCAACAAGATTGGGCCCTCCTTGTCCACCAAAAGCATTACCTCCAACTCCAAAAACGTTTCCTTCATTTGCAGCAAAAATATTGGGCCCTTCTTGTCCAACAAAAACATTCCCTTCTTGTCCACCAAAAACATTGCCTCCTCCTTCTCCAACATAACCGTTTCCTCCGTTTGCACCAACAAGATTGGGCCCCGCTTGTCCACCAAGATCATTCACACCAACTCCTCCAAAAACGTTTCCTTGATTTGCACCAAAAAAATTGGGCCCTGCTTGTTCATCAAAAGCATTCCCTTGGTTTGCACCAAAAAAATTGGGCCCTGCTTGTCCAACAAAAGCATTACCGCCACCCCCAAAAACGTTTCCTTCATTTCCACCAATAATGTCTAAAATAATAAATTTATGATAACATCCTTGGAAGTAGATATGGGGGTGTTTTCAGGCTTTTTTGAAATTTTTCATTTATCGTAAACTCTCTAAAATGTTATGGACGCAAAGAAAAAGCAGTTTTACCAAAAGAAACAAAAACCTACTATTTAGAATTTGGCGATTTTGGTCATTTATTTGTTGATTACTTGTTATTTGTTGTTGCATTATTTTTTGATTATTTAAGTATGCGTTTTTAAGAAAGTTGGAATCCATTACTTTAGTCTATAAGTTAAGAAAATAATTTTATGTAAGATGATCTTTAATTTTGGTATGACTTATGAATTGTTTAAAAATCCAGCAAACCTATTTTCTAAGGTAATTCTAGTGCAGATCACGAATTTGACTCAGCTTTATCCAACAACTGATTTTATCTAACAATTGATTTTTTCATCAAGTATGGTTGTAAATAATAAAACAACGCCATTGTTAGCATCTCAAGAAATCTAATGCTATCAAAAAATAATGTTGGTGAACTATAGGCCTCACGGGAGCCCATGTGGAGGGATTTTGGAAAATTGCAAAATAACACATGAGCGGATAGTATAAGCATTTGACAACATGTTGAAATGAAAGAAACATTTATGGACGAGATGGAGGGTAATGGATCAAATCAAGTGTTGGATAAACTCAGTTAGGATTCGTGATCAGGCCGAAATTAGCTAAGAAAATGTTTTGCAGGGTTTGCAAATTTATTTGTCACAATCCCAAAAGACTGTCGAAATTTTTTTCATACAATTTGTTTAGTAAAAGTACTCACTTTATTAGATTTCAATGTAACGATCAAATTTGATCTAAAAATTGTTTAAAAAAATAAAAAAATGTGAAAAGTTGAAAAAATAATTAAGATTATAAAATATTCATATGTACATAATATATATTATTTAAAATTTTTGGCAAATGGATTGACTAGTTGTGGGAGACTCAAAAATCTAGCGAGATTTGAGTCTGAAACTTTTTAGAAATTACTTTTACATTTCGAAGTAGGGTTGCAGCGCGCCGAACTTTGCGAATTAAATTTTCGGACACGGACACGTACTTTGCAGACATGAAACTTGCGGATACGAATTTTACGGATCTATGATTTGAAAACTAAATTTTTAATTTTCTTTTTTACTCAAATGACGGTCCTAAAATATTGGACCGCAAATGTCGAGTCCGCAACTTCGGGTCTGCAAAGTCTGGGTCACCAAAATTTTCAGGTCCTCAAAGTTCGCGCCACTGGGGTTGCACGGGTTTTGAAATGTTTCGAAGCAGGGGTTAGGGCTGGACATAATTGCATACGATTGCGGAAAATCTTTTTCAATTGCGTCCACCCTTGTTCGCGGTGTGGCTTTTAATTTAAAAGAAAAATTCTTCAGAAATAACCCGTTTTCGTTCTATTTTCGATAATTTATTAAAAAATTGAGGGATTAAAGAGATTTGGAGGGATTAAGGGGGATTTTTAAGGATAATAGTGATTTAGAAGAATATTGAAGGGTTATGGGGTTTGAAGGAATTGAGGGATATTAGAGGAGCTCGTTGGAAATGAGAGCGAAAAATCGTTCTGGTATTAAGTGTAATTTTAAATTAAAATGTGACTGGTCTCACGTTTAATCGAAGCTTATGTGAAGAAGTGAAGACTTATGGGGAGACTTATGTTCAAAAGACTCAGTCAATAATAAAGAAAAATAAATAAATAAATAAATAAATAAATAAATAAATAAATAAATAATAAAGTGTTGCCAAAAATTTCGTTTTAATTTTTTTTTAAATTTTGATTTAATTTACCTATTATTCCTTCTAATTGGGAAAGCAAATCCAAGGCAACAATTTATAATTTGTGAAAGAACAAATTCTAGCACCCCATTATTTTCAATAAAGGCTTGATTTGCCAGTGAAAGTTGCTAAAAATAAAATTTCTTATATTTTTGTAATTTTCCTGTCTTCAAAAGAAAGTTTTAACGGAAGACGGGAAAAAACATTTTTTAGTAAAATTTAAAACAAATGTCAAAAGACAAACAAAACTTTCTGGGATTTAGGTATGTAAGATCAAAAATTATAAATTTAGGTTTGTATTAGGGGGAAGTATTTTTGGCGGATGAGAGCATCAAAAATACGTAATTTGAAATTTTGTGGAAGACAGAAGCAAGCAAACTCTCTCTAGTGTCCATCTACATATAACCAAATAAATTTTCAAAAAAAGTTCTCCCCACCTCCTTTTTGAGGGTTTTTAATTTTTTCAAAACTTTGTTGATATCCACATCATTAATACTTAACAACTTTAATTGGTTAGATAATTGGTCTAACTGATCTTCATTTAAAACAAATTGTGAGGTGGAATTTGTTGGAATGAGGAGGGTATTGTTGTTGTTGGGGGGAATTAAAGAATTGGAGGAATTATTTATTTTTTCCATTTTTGGTGAAATTAAAGTTGTTTTTATTTTTTAAAATTTTTTGTTGTCAAGAAAAAAGTAATATGAATCCAAAAATTACTTTGAAAAATTTTAAAATTGTATATAATAAATTTAAAAAAAATCAAAAATTGGACGAAAACAAAAAAAAGTTTAAAAGAAAATTTTAAAAGAGAAAATTTTATCAAAGGAGATTTAGAAAATACTCGTGAAAATGATCAAGAATAGGTTAAAGGACAAATAATTTTGTTTTTAAAAGGAGATAAAGAACAAAATTTTAAAATAAATATTTAAATTGTTTCTGACAGAAAAACAATCCTCCTATAGATTTGTCCTCCCTTTCAACATCACAAAAAGCATATCCATCGAGGATTTAGCCTCATAATTTTGTTCAGAATCATTAAATCTAACCGATCATAGTATCATTCTACTCAGCTCAAACAGCTCTTTCGAATGATACATTGTAAATTACAAGCAAAAAAGCTCAAAATGGTCAGGCGAACAGAAAAAAGGGGGCCAGCCTTGGTATTACCCAAATAAAATTTAATTGTTTATAAAAAAACAAAGTTTAAACCAAAAAAATGATAAAAAAAAAAGAAGGAATAAGCTATCAATGTAGAGAACATCATAACGGAATAATAATTTTAAAGAGATGAAACAAAGCTGATATATTAAAATATTTTAAAATAATTTTCAGCTGTTTTTAACCCTTTTAAAGAATAATGGTTTAAAAACTATATTTATATTTCAAATAGTTTACGCCCTCAGAGAACACGCCCCTTTTCATCTTAGTTTCCTTTAATTTTGCTACGTAATATTTTTTTGGGTACGACCCAAGTAGGCGTGTGACCGAGTAGGCGCGAAGTCATAACTTGCCTTTTTACATATTGCCACGCCCCCTACACTTATAATGAATAAAAAATGCGAAAATGGCTGGAAATAAAATAGCATTAGTTTATGTGAAGGCATGGATAAAAAGTAAAAGAAAAAGGGGTGAAATAAAAAAATGGAAGGAAAAGAGGCGTGGTTTCCTGAAAGTAAAAAAACAATAGCACCAGAATATGTAAAACTTAATTTCAATATTATAATTAGAGTTCGAACTTTTCAAAATTACCGGGCCCGGGATCCGGTTTTTTACTCAAAATCGCACCCGGGCCGGTTTTTCCGGATAAATAAAACCGGAAAAACCGGTTAGCCCGGAAAAATCGGATTTTTTCAGCAATACCCGGTTCCGGCCACCGAGCCCGGAAGAAACCGGTCTCTCTAATTATAATATGTATATGAAAAATTAAAAATAAATATTTCCATTTAAATTAACAAAATATCCCGAGTAATTTCAAAAATAAAATTTAAAAAAAAGAAAGACTTTCAATTTACATATATTTAGGCATTTACTCTTTTAAAGTTTCTGCCTTCACTCTTTTTCCAATTCATTAATCAAAATTTTGTAATAATTTAATAAAAAAAAATACGTTTTAAAAAGAACATTTTGCCTTTGTCTTCACTAATTTGTGCCTGTAATTCGTTTAAATCAAAACGAACAGATTTTTGAGTTGGCATTTCTTTTTTTTAAATTTTAATAGAAAATCTTTAAATATTATTAAAAAAATAATTTAAAAAAAGACATGGAAAATTTAAAAGATAAATAGCGACAAATTTAATGTCAAACAAAAATAACCAAAAAAGAAATTTAAGAGAGTTCAGTTTATTTATTTAATTATACGAAAATTGAAAAAAAACACGAGGACAAAATTAAACACTGTTACAAGAAATCTTAAAAATTCCCTCCTTCTGATACGAAGGAGCGAATATTATAAAATAGGATCACCCCAGAGTATCGACAACCAAAATATCGTTGCTGAGCGAAATCTAAAAATAAAAAACAAAATGCCAAAAAATACGCGAAAGATACGAATTATGAAATTAGCCCAGCCCTGGTATCGGTTGGAACCTAGAACAGAAAAAATCATGTGGAGTTGTAATTTCTTAGCACATGATAACAGTGTTTTCTTATTTACATTAAATTAATAAGTAGGTGATTAATTAAATTTAAAAAAAGATGATTAAATTAAATTGATTATTGTTTCGATCCAAATTGTCGTTTTAGTTTAAACCATAAATTGACACAACTCCATTACTGAAAATAAAAATTATTTTATTTTCAAAAAAATTAATATGCCAAAAAATGTTTTCCTAAAAATTTCCACTAAAAGTAAAATTTCCATTATAAAAATAATCAACATCAAAATTTTCTCCTTTTTGCTCAACAAGACATTCTTAATAAGATAAAATTTTTTTAATATTTAATAAATTAGTATAGTATAAAAGCCAGTGTTAGTGGCTTTTAAAGCCGGTGTTAAAAGCCGGTGCCGGTGTTACCATTATGATTTTGTATGAAAAGAGCGGAAAAATAAGAGAACGGGAAAATGTTGTTAAACGGATAGTTGATTGTCAAACGGATAGATTTTCAGTTAAACCCCGCCGTGACAATCTACATATAATCATTTTCGGTTATCCAAAAGATTTGATTCTGTCACAAATATATTAAAATTTACTATTTCGGAGCTGCACATCAGCTACCTTCATTCGTGCAAGTATTGCATTTACTTGTTTTCGATTAACTTTTTTTGTATCGTCCAAATCAGCTATTGAGGTAAGTGTCTGTATCTTGCTTAAAATATAATCACATCCTCCTCTAGCAAGAAAATATTCTTAAAGATAAAATTTTAATAAGAAGAGATTCAGGGCATTCTAAGAATTTTATTACACAAAGTTTACTAACAAGGAACCATCTTTTACTGTAAGTGCAAATTTGGAATTTTTTGGTACCATTCAATAGAGGAACCTCGACTTCCTATTGCAAAGTGATATCGGTTTCTTACAAAATAACTTTGGGCCTAGTTATGGCCAGTCAAAGTTTAACGTTAGTTTGGAGTTAAAGGGTAAATGAAGATTTAAAAAATCGCAAGAAAAATCCTTTCAGTCCTTCTAGACATAGACTGAATCGGAGCTATACTGATCCATCACTACCCCCTCAAAATAAATACCATTATCAACCATCTCGTCAGCAACATTAATTAATTCGAGAATCGTATTAATTTGCTTTGAAGTAATTTTACTGTCAACTCCAATAAGAAGTAATTTATTACGTAATATTTGTTTACGAGTATTGTAAATGATGTAGAAATCTTGATCAATAAACTTTCTGAAAATGTATTTTCATAAGAAAATCGAAGTTTTTAATTTTTATTTACCTATAATTTTCTAAGCCAAGTGGCAAAACAAGTCCAGAATTTATAATTTGTGAAAGAACAAATTCAAGCAAACCATTATTTCCAATAAAGGCATGATTTGTCAATGGAAGTTGCTAAAATAATTTTTTATTTTTTTTCTTTTTTCCAAGTCAAATTCAACGGAAGATGGAAGAGAATATTTTTAAAAAGGGTAATTAATGGGTGAAACTTTTTGGGATTTCAAATATTAAAAAATTTGATTGGCAATAAGTGTGTTTTTGGTGGAGGGTGTTTTTAGCGGAGTAAAAAATCAAGAGAAGCAACTTCTCTCTAATACATACGTTCATACATATAACCAAATAAATTTTCCAAAAATTTCCCACCTCCTTTTTAAGGGTTTTTAATTTTTTCAAAACTTTGTTGATATCCACATCATTAATACTTAACAACTTTAATTGGTTAGATAACTGGTCTAACTGATCCTCATTTAAAATAAATTGTGAGGAGGAATTTGTTGGAATGAGGAGGGTATTGTTGTTGGGGGGAATTAAAGAAATGGAGGAATTATTTATTTTTCCATTTTTTAAAGTCAAAATGATGAAAACAAAGTTGTTTTTATTTTTTAAATTTTTTTGTTGTCGAGAAGTAATAAACCCAAAAATTACTTTGAAAAATTTTAAAAATTGTTAAATTAATTAAAAAATAATCAGTTATATAAACTACCTAAAAATTAAAATTAATTTAAACAAAGAACATTTTTAACCAACAATTGGTCGAAAACAAAAATTGAATTTTGAGGAAAATTTTAAAGAAAAAATAGAAAAAGATCGAGAATAAGTTTACAAAAACAAATAATAATTTAGTCTTTCAGTTAAATATTTAAATTTTTTCTGTCAAAAAGGCAATCTTCCCAAGAAAAGGTTACCTCTATAAGAAAAAAATTCAGAAAAATAATCGTCTTAAATGATCGTAAAAATTAATAAACTCTTATATTTAAAGGTCAAAAATAAAATTTAAAAATTAAAGTTTTAAAAAAGAGATAGGAATTAAGGGAAGGAATCACAGAAAATTAAATTATTGGAGGAAATAAGTAAATAAAATTTAAATGAATTTTAAAACAAAATTTAAAAATAACAAAAGTCGAAAAAAGTTTAAGTCAACAAAACACCGTTTTTAATATATTAAAGAAAAATGAGCAAATAATATTTTTAAAAACAATATGCAAAAATAAGGAATCCCGTTTACGCCTAAAATGCCACGACTCTTTTACTTACTTAAATCAAGGCAAATAATTGTCAACATTTCCCGTCTATTACTTTATCTCCCTTTTTTATAAAACTAAAAAATTCGAAAATACCAGAAAAATTTAGTGAAAGAGATAGGAGATTAAGCAGGTTTGTTTGACCATTATGAGCCTTGTGCGTGAAAGAGAAAGGGACATTGATTCTGGAAAGTAACCGGAAATAGTACCTAGCAATAACAACAAAATTTTAATCTAATAGATATACTAGGAAAGTCAAAAAACAATTAAAAATTAATACCCATTTAAATTAACAAAATATTCAAACTGAATAATTGCCAAGAAAAAATAAGAGTCCAAAAATAAAAATAATCCCTTCAATTTAACTTCATTCACTCTTTTAATTCATTCACTCTTTTAAAGTCTCAGCCTTCACTACATTCTCCAATTCATTAGCAAGTTGTTTTGCTTCTTCTAAAGAATTTGCTTCGGAATAAATACGAACAATTTGTTCAGTTCCAGAAGGCCTTTTTATTTAAATTTAATTTTAAGAAAAAATTAAAAATATAAGAAAACCTAATAAAAGCTCTAGCATTTAAAAATTTAGAAACACATTCATCTATTTTGTTTTGAATTCCTATAGGTTGAAGTAATTTAGTTTCATTATCTTCAGGTGTGACAAAAAGATTTCGATTAGATACCTTTTAAAGGAAATTTTTTTGAATTTATTTTTTCGTTTTCCCAAGAACTTACAGGCACTTTAAGTTGAAAACTTGGACAGTTACTATAAGTATTCTTTTCCCAATCTTGAATTGTCCAATTAAAATAACGAAGCAAAAATTCAACAGTTAATAAATCAGCAATGGCATCACCATCTACCTAGAAATTTTTGAGGGGAATTTTAAAAGGAGGGGAATTTTTATTTGGAAATTTTTTTTAACAAATTCGGACCATGAATAATTTTTCAAAATCAAAATTTTTTATAAACGGTTAAATTTTCCTTTTGTACCAAAATTATCGACTAATTTTCAATAAAAATATTTACATACCTCATTAACAAGTTTAGAAAAAAGAGACAACAATTTAATATAACGAGGAACTTGTTCTCTGAAAAAAATAATTTTTTAATTAAATTTTAAAAATTAAATTTCAAACTTTTCTTTTCCATTTTCACCCTTTTTAATTAATTTATAAAATTTATCACTAAAATAAACAGTTCCATGTCCATTTGCTTCAAAATATACTCCAATATCATAATTAAGAGCTGCTTCTTCCAAATGTTTAGTTCCTGTTTTGGTAACCAATGGTTTTATATTCTGAAAAAAAAATAAAATAAAATTCTGATTTTTAATTTACATGTTATTTTGAATCAGAATTTATATACTGAAAAAATTAATTCTGATATTAAAGTATGTTCTGATTTTATTCAGAAAAAATATTCTGATTTTATTATCAATAAAATTCTGATTTTATCTTGAAAAAATTCTGGGTAATTTATTAGGGATACAGGCGCAAGCCCGGGCCTACTTGGCTCACGCCTACTTGGGCTGTACCCAATCCCCCCCCCCCTTATCTGACCATATTAATTTTTCTTCTTGCTGTTAATCATTTATTTTTCTAAATCAGAATTTAATTTTGAAAAAAATTATTATATTTCCTTACCAATTTGTCATTAAAATAACGCGTAGAATTTCCATTAGCATAAGCAGTCTGTACAACACCAAAATTCAAATTAATTAATTCTCCATTAGTTTTTGCTTCGTTTAATTGCTAAAAATAATTAAATTTAATTAATTTAATAAATAAAAATTACTTGATTAATAAATTTTGTAAAAATAGCACAAATATGGTCCCCATCGAGTAAACAAATTTTTCCTTCCAAATTTGGATAAAAATAAATTAAACGATCCGCATCTCCATCAAAAGAAGCACAACGAGTTCCGACAGGTAAGGCTGTTGGGAAATTGGAAGGCAAAGAAGTTTTGATTTTTACAAAGTCTGCGCCACACTAAAAAATTATTTTTAGACGTAAAGATTAATTTCAATGTCAGGACAGCTACCGGTAAGACAACTCATAGTCAATACTTTTACGATCCCTTTACCAGAAATTTATTTTTAAATTTTAAATGAAGGGCAGTCTTCAATAACAAGATACGCTTCCATTCGATTACGGGGCCATCCCTACTCAATACCTTCGCTCGATATACCCATGGTAAAACTTAAGACCAGTGTTCATAAATTCCAATTTTGCCCGTACTCGTACCACCCCGAGAACAAATTACTGCTTAAGATCTAATGGTATTTGCCTCAAAAAACTTTAAAATAGGCTCAAAATTTCCAGAAATTCTATCAATTAAAAATTAATTTACCCCATTATTTAACAATTCTCCATCATTTGTATTCGTATTAAATAAATTAACCAAAATATTTTTTCCCAGATTTTTTTCTTCCTCTTCTTTAGTAACATCCAATCCATTTTTACAAATAAATCCATTATTTTCCAAATATTTTACTATCCAAAGAGAACCAACTCCATTAGCGCAGTCCAAATAGAGAGGACTTAAATTAGTATTTTCTTCGATATTGAGGAACTTGAAATTTTTTTTAGAAATTTTAGAAAGATTAAAAATTACTTCTCTAGACTTTTCCAAAGCCCTTCGAAATTGTTGAATATAATCGTCCACAGGCTTCTTTTCATTTATTGCCCTAACTATATAATGAAGTTGGGGAGTTGTATGGTGTTCTAAAAATTTTTTTTAAATTCAAAAAAATTTAAACAAACCAAAATATTTAATATCCACAGAAATCCCCAATAATTTAATTCCTTTAACGGCTTCTTCATAAAGAATAGCAGATGATGGACGGGTGTCTGTTGCAATGACTATTATTGGAGTTGGATTGTCCTTTTCTTCATTGTTTTTGATTTGTTGAATCTGGACAAAAAAATTTTTTTTAGAAATTTTTGTTGTATCTCGTCACGGTCAGGTTTCTAGTTATAACCCTTGACCACTAAACTTTAAAGAAAATCAGTTTCGACCTGAAACAAACTCTGGTTAGCGTAAAAATAATAAAACCAGAATTAGGACCCGAAGTCTTTGAAACGCCAACTCTAAAGGTATCTAACCTTTTTTACGTGGCTTATTGCAGGGAGAAATTTGATTTTCTTGAAAATGTTGAGGGTTATGACTAGAAACCTGACCGTGACGAGATACGACAAAAATTTCATAATAACATTATCTATAGAGGTACATATTAACTTAGTTTTTGTGGCCTTGTCAGCTTCCTAATCATAAAATAATCTTTCAAAATTAACCTCTTCATTTTTAAACTTTTCAAATTCCTCTTCTGTCCCATTCGCAATTTTAGTCAATTCTTCCTCACACTCCATCGCCAACATTCGTCCACTCGGGTCAACAAGTTTAAGCCCATTATCACATCCAGGATTATGCGAGGCTGTAATCATCATTCCAACAGCTTTCCCCAACTTTCTAAAAGAAAATTTAGAAAATTCTAGAAAAATTCCTTACTTTGCCCTGACAGCAGCATAAAAAGCAGCTCTATATACAATTAATTGAAGTTGTTCATCTGCTTTTGCTCTAAATCCTGAAGTGCCATAAATTAAGGGACGTGAAGTCATTTTTGATTAAAATAAATTTAGAAAGAAAACTGAAAAGTAAAATAAAAATAGAAAAATATTTTATAAAATAACAAAAGCGTTTTTAAAAAAAACAAGGAATTAAATAAAATAAGCAACGTGTAATAACGAACGCTATTTTTTATGAATATTAAAAAAATTTCAATTTTTATAAAAATTGTTCCTTTATAAAATAAATATTAAAAGGAAACAATCATCTCACAAAAAACTACAATCGGAGTTTTTCGCGACATACAGGATACCCCAGAATATCGATGACCCAAAATCGCCCAAAATAATACACTCCTTTTTCATCCTTTGAGTTACCAGATAAAATATGGCAGAGGACTGTATGTCGCAAAAAACTCCGATTGTAGTCTTGGCTGGTTCATTATAGAGGCTAGTTTTCTGCTCATAATTTTATTAATTTTTGATCCTTTCCAATTATTTTTTATATAATTTATATAAATAAATAACAACAATAAATAAACTTTTAAATTTAACAAATTAATGCAAGTTTTTCTTCAAGCTGTTTACGCAAATAGTCAGCTTTGTCTTTCATTATTTCACAAGCTTCAGTAACTAATTGGTGTGCTGGCATTGAACCAGTAGATTCAACAGTGACTTTAAAATTAAATTATAGGGAAATTTGATTTTTAAAATTAAATAAATTTTATTTCTGAAAAAAATCAAGAAAGAATCTCGACAGAATCATTCACTCAATTTTGAAAATTTTTAGTTCAGAAAATAGTTTCATCTCCGAAACAATTGATAAACAATCACAAAACTTTCCATTAGATTTTTATCTCTTTTTGGAACGTATGGGTTCGGATCTCATTTCATAAGGGGAAATTCTCATATCAGATTGATTCGAATAATTTACCCTATTGGCATTGTCTTGTGAATAAATGTGGTGACGACCTTAACCTTCACATATTTAACCACCGGTTAACTTGCTTACCCAAAATTAAAAAAATAAAAAAACCAACAAATAAAATGTGTTTTGTCCTTTGTCATTTCAACCGCATCCTTCAAATCATCATGCATAAAAATATTTCTGCTTGAAGTATCAGAACGTGCATCCCTTACATAAACTTTAAAAATATTCTATAATTTAATAACCTCCAAAATCAAACCTCTTCCTTTTTCATCCTTTCCAATAACTCCACTAGAGAAGCTAGATTGTAACCTTTTTGCCTGGTCATCAGTAAAATTTTTTCTTTTCAATTTTATTTGAGGAAGCATCCTATACGTGGCAGTAGCAACTGGCGAGAATTTTGCGTGGTCACGGCCAATGCCTTTGACACAATGACATCTAGGGAAATTTAAAATTTCAAAGAAAAATCTCCAAAAAAACCTCGCTTCAATTTCCTGTCCAGGCCTTAATTTTGCCAAAATAATGTCTTTATGTACCATTCTAGGTGGATCTGTGCTGAATTGAGTTCGTTGAGAAGATATTGGAACCCATTTAAAAGCACTTGTGTAAAGCACCCAATTCCCACTGTCTCCAGGTTCACGAACACACCCATCTCCCAAATCACTACCATCGGAGCTTTTTGCAACAGATCGCTTCTTTTTGACTTTTTCATCTTTTGAGCTAATTAAAATTATAAAAATTAAAAAATAATCGAATTTAATGAACTTCCTAAAATAATTTTGGTCCCTAGTTATTTTTAACCAAAATATCCTTTGTTAGCAAGGGTATATACAAGTCACCTTTCAGCATTTTCCCCGTTTTAAGAACGCTGTAACTAAAGATTTTAGATATGACTTCAAAAGTTTGGTATCATTCAGAAAGGATAGTCAAGATAAAATAAGAAGCAACATGAAACTTTCTATTTTAACATGAATGAAAAAGTCTAATGAGACAGAGCGACCATAAAAGTACATCTAGACCGGCTTTACTCACTCAGAAAAATTACCCGTGAACCAAAATTAAATATAATTTCAAAACCTTGGGCAGACAGCATGTAAATTAAATATTAAATTTCTTTTTGCATCTCCAGCAGGCTCTTCATCCAAAATATCAGTATTTATTTGTTGTTTGGATGGATCTGTGGCAGGAGGAAAAGCAAATTTTGTTGGGTCAGCATAAATAGGAATTAATCCAAGTCGATGACAAAGAACTTCATCCTTAAATTTAATAAGAAAAAGTCAGAAAAATTCAAAACAAAACCTGTATACAAGAAGTATTTTGGTAAAGAAAAACTTTTTCGATGGCCATAGTTGGGACCTAAACATTAATTTGTAGAACTTCTGGGAAAATCCCCTCTAAAACTAACCTCAGCAATTAAAACTCTCCTTAAAGCATTTGCAATAGGGGCCTCAACTTTAATTAAATCAAAACTTAAATCCAATCTGTCCACGCTTTGAGATACAACAGTCAAATTAATTTGGCGACAGTATTCGTGAACATTCCATTGTCCGTCAGCAAAAGGTAAAGGATCGAAAGTCTTAAATTTTTTAGAATAATTGTCAGTTGTGATAAAAATAAAATCTTAAAGGTTAAAAACACAATAGTGGGTACCTATACTCTATTTTTGGAAGGTGGCTTTTCAATGAAATCGAGGGTTTTTTACCAAGAATAACTAACAAGTACCCAACAGTGCCAACAAAAAATTAAATTTAAAATAAAAATACCAACTTACATTAACAACTTCCTCCTCTTCCAAAGACATTATTTCATCTTTTACATTTCTCCAAGAAATTTCCGATTCATCATCTGAAGTTTTTGGTCTTCCTTTACCCTTTTTTTTGCTAGAATCCATTAATTTAATTTTTAAATTTATCTAAAAAATTAAATTAATTCGATAAAAATAGAGAATAAATAAAGGAAAAATAAACATTTAAATATTCAAAAAAATAATTAATTAAAGCTTTATTTTAAAAAATATAAAAATATTTTATATCCAATTTTTTAATTTAAAAAAAGAAAATAAAGAGCATTGAAAAAGATGTGACAGGCAAAAACCCTGTTAACAGAAAATTAGGAAACGAAAAAAAAACAGGCAATTTTAAATATTCTCACAAGGAACCATTCTTTACTGGAACTGCGAATTTGATATATTTTTTGGTACCAATTCGATAGAGGACCCTCGAATTAGTATTGGTGTATGCGGGTTTTCTTGCAAAATTAGTTTGGGTCGAGTTATGGCCGTTCAAAGTTTCAGTCTTTGGAAGTGGTTGAGTATAACGAAAAAGGCGCAAGGAACCAGCTATAACTTTGTTTCACACTCAATATTTGACACACAAATGTGAGTGTCAAAAAAGTCGAAAATTCACCGCTAAAGTATTGGAGTAATAAAATTTCTAGGCTCATAAAATTAAATTTGGAAAGAAAAATAAGGGTTTTTTCAATTTACTGGCTATTCCCTTAGAAGAAAAAAATTTAAATAAAAATCAAATAAAACAAGTGAATATAGGAGTTCAAAAAAATTGAACATTTTCTTTTAAAATTCCTTTAATTTTGAGAAATAGTCCAAAACCCAAAAGTATATCTAAACCATAATAATAGAATATCTCTTCCCATTTGTAATCCAGCCAATAAAGGAGTAAGTTTAGAACCGTCAATTTCTTCCCATTCAACACAAACTTCAGCGATAGAAAAATTTAAACGTTCTGCCAAATAAATTAATTCTACATCAAAAGCCCATCTTTCAATTCGTTGTTGAGAAAATAATTTGGCGGCGGCAGCACGACTGGAAATTGAAAAAGAAATATTAAAATAAGGAAAGAATAACAGTATACGGCAAGGGCGTATCCAGGGGGTCGGTTTCGGGGGGGGGGGGGCTAACACTAGGTGGGCGCAAAAATTTTTGGCGTTTACCTTGGCGTTTCGGACGCAAATTTTTTTGTACATAAATTTTCATCTTTTCTGCGCCGTAGGCGAAAATTTTTTGAATTTTAGAAGGCCGTAGGCCAAAAAAATTCACTTTTTTTTTGCGCCGCAGGCGAAAATTTTGGAAAATTTCGGGGTCCTTAAGACAGATTTCTTCCTTTTTTAGCGCCGCAGGCAAAAAATTTTTGGAATTTGGAGCCCAAGAAGCCAGATTTCTTCCTTTTTTAGCGCCGCAGGCGAAAATTTTTTAGAATTTGGAGAGCCGTAGGCCAAAAAAGTTCACTTTTTAGCGCCGCAGGCAAAAATTTTGAGGATTTTGGAGCTCAAGAAGTCAGATTTCTTCCTTTTTTTGCGCCGCAGGCGAAAATTTTTTTAAATTTGAGGGTTGTAGGCGAAAAAATTTCACTTTTTCGACCATCCTTCTCCTAATTTTTTCCCCCTTTCCCCCATTTCGGGGGGGGGGGGGGGGGGGGGCTCTAGCCCCCCCTGGATACGCCCTTGGTATACGGGACTTAAACTTTGAAGTCTTATGACTTCTCAATTTCAAAGTCTGGGACAAAAAACTGCAATTGATTATCTACCAGCATCCATAATATAGGACAAAATTTTTAAGTTCTAGTCCAACCCCTCTAAATAGCCGAATAGGGTAATTCCACTAAATTAAAAAAATTATAAATTACCTAACCCAACTCCTATAAATTAAATAATTATTGAAACCTGAATAATTTAAAGCCACATTGTGTATCGCGGACTGTCCGAACTGTAAATACCCAAACCTACAAAAATAAAAAAATATCAGAAAAATTTTTAAAATTAAAGAAAAACCATAGCATGAAATCCCAACATTAAAACAGTTCTCAAAAGTGAACGTTTAGCTATCGCCTCATCTGCCAAATGTGCTCTAGAACCAACAACCAAAGCTGGATGTGTCCAATCAATTGAAGATTCTCCATTAAATTTTTCTTCTTCATTTTCTCCATTACAAAGAGAAAACATTTCTTTTTCCAATTTTGAAAAATCAGAAAATTTTGTAGCTCCATCCGCATCAGAAAATAATATAAAACGTCCCCTAGCACACAAAACACCTGCACGAACTGAACCTCCTTTTCCGATATTTTTGACAAGTTTGAGGACATAAATTGGATTATTTTGATTTTGTTGTTTCGAATAATTGAGGGCAACGTCTGGAAAAAAAGATTTTCTTTCTATTTTTTGATGAAAAATTTTCTATTATAATAAACAAGCTGAAGCTGATGATCGTCGTCTAAGGGGGTGGGAAAGGGGGGGGGGGGGGATTTGTAAAAAATATTTTTGTCTTACAAACCCAATATCGGGTTATTCCTTAAGTTTTTGATTGTGTGCTATGGACAATTAAAAAAATAATTAAGTAAATAGAGTTCCCGGTATCAGCCTTAATGTACCACTTAATAAAGTTACCCAGCACTTGTTTACTATTTAATCATAATTTAAAAAATTTATTATTAAAAAACAAAAAATTAATTACCTACAGTTGCATCAGTACTTCCATCATCCACAATAATAACCCAAAAAAATAAAAAATAATTAGAAAAAAATCTTTGAAAAAACCTCAAAAGTGAATTCCTCAGAATTTTCAGCTCTCTTATTTAAGTAATCCAAACATTCATCCAACATTTTAGGTAAACGAAGCTGTTAAAATTAAATTTAAAAATAAATGACCCTATCCCAAAAGAAGGGCGGAATCGCTTTTTACATCACTTGAAAGGAAAAAAAAGGAAAGGAAAAATTGAGACGGATGGACTCGGACAGACAAAACACGGAGGGGACGGACACAAAAACAGACAAACGCGGACTAAGAAATACAGGTGTGTTTTATCTGTCCGAGTCCATCCGTCCAAATTTTTCCTTTCCTTGCGGTTAATGAAAAAACGATTCCACCCTTCTTTTAAGATAGGGCCAAATTAACAATAAAAAAAACCTCTTCATTAAATGCCGGAATAATTAAAGACAAATAAATTTCCGGTTCAGTCCTTCTAAAGCCTTTTTGTGTATTTAAATCTTCAACAAATAAACCAACAAAAGGAGTTTTTGAAATTCCAAATAATGTAAATGGATAACGTTTTGTGTAAAAATAAGACTTTACACGTTTAGTCCATGGAGTTAGAAGGGCAAGACTTAAATTGAAAATTATTTAAATTAATTTTTAAACAATAACCAACCATATCAAAGAAAAGGCTGCCACAAATAGTAGAAATAAAAATAATAATAAAATATAAAGTTGAGTACTCATTTTAAGTGTTCTTGGTCAAAAAATATTTAATTCTTAAAAAATAAATTTTTAAAAATCAAAATTTAAAAAATCTGTCACAAAAAATATCACTCCCCTTAACAGCAGAAAACCCCCGTTAAAAACCATAAAAAAGGAAATATAAAACGGTAAAAAACTTAAAATTAAGAAATCTTAAAAATTAAAAAAATATTTCAACAAAAAATCCCCTCCCTATCGATATTTTGTCAAATTTGTTTTATGTATGATTTTTAACTTTATCAAATTCGGACAGAATAACTTTGCCAAATCGCGAATTATTAAAATTTTGAAATTTCTTTAAGGTAAAGGAAAAAATTTATGGAAGGCCTGTAAAAAAGTGAAATTGAAGAATAAAAAATTCACACATTCTTATCCCCAAACTACAACAGATACTTCCCTCCAAAATTAAAGGAAGTTAAAGAAAATATATAAATTCATAATTATGTATCAAATTTAAAAGAATAATTTATTCCAAAAAAATAAATAAATGCAAGTCAAAACAAACAGTTCAAGTGCACTATAAAATTAAAACCAATTCCCCCCAAAAATATATATGTATTTACTTCAATTACGCTTGTCACCTTTAGTCTCATTCTTTGGTTTCTTAAATTGTCCATCATTCTTATTCTTATTGACACCGCTACCCTTCTTACTTGTTGACGTCCCACTTTTAGACGTTCCCTTCCCAGTTTTTGGTGCAATCTTCTTGCTACTTGTGCAAACGTCAGACCTAAAAATTTTAATTAAAAATTTTCAAAAAAATCTGTCAAAACAAACATAGTATCATAAATTTTGTTCAGCTCCCCACAAATACTTTCAATAATTTCTTTACTTTGAGGCAACTTCTAAAAATTAAACAAAATTATTTTCTTCTAAAAACCCCAAAAACAAACCGGAGATGGTTCCATAACACAAATTCCCGGTTCCATAGCACTAGTACCTACATCAACAACCATTCTTGATTGGTTGGAAATTGTGCTATAAACAGTCGAATTCATAACAGAAACTTGATGCAAAGTTTGCTCCAAAAATGAACGGGCATTCTTTTCAGCATCTAAATGAGAAATTTATTTTGTTTAAAAATTCAAAAATCTTCAAAAAAACCTTTCGCTTCAACCAAAATAGAACGTGCATCTCCCATTGATTTGTTAAGATCCAAACGAAGTGACTCAATTTTCTGCATCAATTCTTTCCCAAGTTCAGACTCTCCTCCCTCAGAAATTGTCTCCAAAAGTTGCAAAAAGAATTCAGCAGTGCCACGCAGACGATCAAACATTTTGACACAGGATTCTGCAATATTAGCTGTTTGTTCTGCCATATGAATTGCGGCAACTGATTCCATTGTCACATTTTCAGATTCGAATATTGTCGTCTATAAAAGATGAAAACTGTTTATTGTTAGATAATCGCATCAGCAGCAAAATTTATAGAATAAATTGGTTTTAATCACTAAAAATTTCTTTAAGAATTTGGCTAGCCCCTGGTTGGTGTGCCTAAGCAATCCCGTAAATTCAAAGTCATCTTCATTATTCAAAAAACTTTTAAAAAATTATAATTTACATTGATAGATTGACGAGCCAAAACCGCATCAGCAGCACCTCCAGGAAGTGTATTTGAAAACGAAAGAGAGTCCTGATTGAGTTGACGCATACAAGCCTCAAATTCTTTGCCACCAATGCTACCACCAAATTTTGTTCCCAAACGATCATTTGCCGCACGGATTTCATTTTGACGTTTTTGAAGCTAATTTGAATAATTTTTTTATTATTAATAAAATAAAAATTTTCAAACCATTTCCTTAATAACACCAGAAAACGTCGCAAATTTCTTCTCATCAGCATTAAAGCCATGTTGTGAAAGAAAAGCAAAAATTCCAGAACGAAGTTCTTCATTTGCCCGAGTGTTATTTTCCAATTTCTCGAGAATCATAAAAATATGAGCGGCAATCTGTTCAGCATCGTCTGGATTTAAATCAGCAAAGGACTCGTTGAATTGGGCAGCGATTTGAGCAGACGACAAGCCTAAATGATATAAAGTTGAGAAAAAAGAAATTGAATAACCTGGTATTTTTGCAATGCTATTGCGGATTTGATCGCGAATCTGAAAAATAAAATTTTAATCATCAATTAGATGTTAATAATTGTCGTGAAAATTGTGGACGGACGTGTAAAATAGAATTGACCAGACATGAAATAATGATAATCTCGGCCCCCGTCAAGCCGTTCCCAGCATACCTCACTCAACTCGACTACCCTTTGACCCCAACTTATCTCCCCTATGTAAAATAGTGCAAATTAAAATTTTGCTTACATGCAGTTCTTCAAGAGAATGTTCCAGTCCATGACCACCAACTGCTGCCTGCTCCACATGTTTATTCTTTGCAATTTCATCTTGAAGTTTTTCACGAAGCTTAATTTAAAAATTAATAATTTTTATTAAAAATTTAAGAGAAAACCTGAGCATTTTCATCTTCCAATTCAAATCCAATTTTCTTCAAATTTTCCAATTGTTTGTCACGAATACCAATTTCTTCCATAGTATTCTGCTCAAAATCGTCGTATTTCTTAAGCAATTTGCGATGCTGGTCTGCCCAATTATCACATTCATCCTTGTATTTTTGCAACTCGCGAGCAAGTTTTGCAAACTAAATACAAAAAATATAAAAACAAACTGAAAATGAGGAACAAAAAACGGACAGTAATTACAATGGCCAGTGCGTTACATTTTTGGAAATATATCGAAAAATTAAGCTGAAAAACCGGAACAACCCATAACCCAAATAAGGGAGACCTAAACCCTCCTCTTTGCTCAAACCTCAGCGGTAACATCCTTTCCTTCTGCATCCTTAAGAATTGGCATTTGTCGACGAAGATCAGCAAATTCGCATTCCAAAACACGATTATGTGACTTCAAACGTTCAAGTTGTTCACGATCGGCTTGGTAGGTCGAAAAATCTAAAAAACAGTGATTAAGAATAAACAGCTAATTACATACTGCTATCACGATTAGTGCTTTCCAAAAGACTAAGAGAATCGTTTTTATCAGGTGATTGTTGCATTATGAGATTAAAATAATGATTGATCTAAATTTCTGAAAAATAGTGAAAATTAATCGATATGAAAAAATAGTTATAAATCCATAAATATTTCCAAAATCAAAAATTATTTAGATAGCTATTGAGCTTTGAAATAAGAAAATTTTAGTCTCTTCCAAATGAAGTTTTTCCGAACAATTAAATAGGACTGAAAAAATCAATAAAATAAACAAAGCTTAAATTTTAAAATGAATTTTACCGCCAAACATTATGCCAAATTAAATTCAGAAATTTTAAATTCAAATTTGTTAAATTTTCTAAAAAATTTCATTTGAGCCCTTGGATTAATTTTTAAAAGCTTTGCCGGTAATCCCGGAGAGTAGGGGTTGCCGCTTTGCCTATATTTACAATTCAATTTTCATTATAATTCAATGGATCTCAGAATTTTCATTATTAATTTGTAGACTATAAAAGCAACAAATGTGCAATCTAGTCATTCTTCCTCAACTCATATTGGCTGCCTTGTTTGTGGCCGCTCTCTTCTCTATAAACTCATGGCTCCTCCACATGGTTCAGCGGCAAAAGCTGACGTTAGTTTTAAAAGTTCTTACACTTTAATGACTCTTTTCTTTTCAAGTTCGAAATACTAACTGTCGACAACCTTCAAGAGAGGATGAATAAAATTGCAACTTCACTGCAAGCGACCATTGAGAAGCCGTTGCCAGTCTGTTGGGCTTTGTTACAGGAATGTAAATGGTCTTGTGACAGTGCTGTGTTAAGGTGATTGAGGGAAACAGAGCGTAAATTGAAAGCTTTCTTTTTTAGATACGTTAATGCTGGCTGCAAGATCCCCGCTAAATTCTGTGGTGCCTACAACCCTAAGGACCCCAAAGAGTCAGATCCTCAACAACTTTACTCATCCAAAGGCAAGAGTTGTATTCTCTGCGATGATGAACATGTAGCAGTCCAAGGCTTGAATTGTGCTCATCTTTTCTGTACTGAATGTTGGGATGCGTATATCAGACAAAAAGTTGTTGCCGAGAATACTTGGTAAGTCAAAAACGCTTCTACGGCTTTCGAATAGACACGAAAATTTTATTTGGGGTTTCGACTTTCTTGGTTTTTTTTCATGTTATCTTTGTCTTTTTTAGCATCATCCAATGCCCAGACACTAATTGCGCTGTTCTTCTGGACCGGTTTACATTATTTAGACTATGCAAAGATACAAGCGTTCATCAACGATATCGACAGCAAGAAGCTCAACGCTACGTTATGGTACATAAATTTAAAATTAAATTCAAAAATTCCCACCTTTCCAGTGGAACACAAAAATCAAGCCATGTCCAGGCGTTGGCTGTACCCTCTATTCTCTAACTCAATTTTGGAGTGATTCTGCACGCGTGGCTTGTACCTGTGGCAACATTTATTGCTCTGATTGTGGTTACAGTTGGCATGAACCTATAAATTGTGCATTGTTGGCAATGTGGATGAGATCAATTTCTTCAGACCACAAAAATCTTTCTTGGATTCATTCAAATACTAAACCTTGTCCAAAATGCAAGGCTAGTCTTTTTTTAATTTTCTTTTGAATTTCATTTCAATTTTAGGTCCCCATTGAGAAGAATAGAGGATGTAATCATATGTCTTGCACAACAGCTTCGTGTAGATATCAATTCTGTTGGGTTTGGTTAGTTTTTTTTCTAGAATTTGGGGATTTTATAGGCATTATTGAGAATGAGTAAAGGGCAAAAATTGGTGTCAATATAAATACGTTTGCCAGAAAAGCGTTTATTTGACCTTAACCTTCCATAAAGTATTGTGTTTCTTAAATTAAAAAATTTATTTTTCAGTATGGGAGATTGGAAACTTCACATGGCAGCCTCCCCCTTTAGATGCAATCGTTTTGAAGGAGGTGGAGATATTGCTAAAAAGTTGGGGGCAACTATAGATAAAAAACAAAAGGACAAACAAATGAGTGAATTGAATGCCCAACGTTTCATTTTCTACGCTGGACGATATGCAAACCATGAACAGAGTTTGAAATTTGAACATAAGGTTTGAAACATTTTTTGGAAAAAAATTTTGAAATTTTTTTAAAGTTTCGTCAACAACTAGAAGAAAAGATGAAACAATACCAAACACGCTCTAAAGGCTCTTATCTTGATGCTGCCTTCATTAAAGACGCTGTTGAAGCTTTGGGAATTGCTAGAAGGGTTCTTCAATTTAGCTATGCTTTGGCCTATTTTCTCAAAGCAGATAGTCTGTCTACTGTCATTTTTGTTGACAATCAGGAATTTATTGAAAGGCCAACAGAAGAATTGTCAAGCCTTTTGGAGCAAAGTGATATTAACGCGATGGATGAGACTGAACTGAAAAGGATGAAGACTAATGTAGGAATAGTCTTTTAAAGAGTTTTAGGGGACAGTAATTCACCCTTTAAAATGAGTTCGTTTAATTTTGGAGGGCAAGCAGTGCCAAGGTTTATCAAAAGTTTTTGCCAAAGCTTTTTTAAGGGGTTTCATGTGTCTGGTTAAAGGCAACCAAAAATTCCAAATCCTCCCCGGTTTATTGTTAGGATAGTTGATTAAAATATTAGTTGATAACGGGTGGACTGTCCTTGCACAAAAATCTGATTAATTTATATTAAATTTTTAATTAAATTTTAGGCAGTTGCGGTTACCAACAACTTGAAGAAAAGTTGCAAAAATTTATTGAAACATGCCTATGATGGGGCAAAAAATAAAGAATGGAAGTACTGTGAGGACTTGATGGGCGATCTGAAAAGTGGAACTATGGAACAAAATTAAAAAGATATTAGAAGATTTGTATAAATAAATATTTCCTCTCATGTATATACTGATATATTAATTAACTTTCAAAAATATTGTAAATTTATTTTGTGTAAATTTTGTTTTATTTTTTAATTTAATTTTTTTGCCTTTACGTTGTTGACGTTTTTAATATTTTGTGCATTTTTTGTTTTGGTGTTTTAAAAATTTAGTTGATCTCGACCCTAAAAATCAGCTTGGTCCCCGTGGGGTTTTTGACTTTCGGTTCTACTATATCTGGGCTCAGTTGTTAACAAGCATAAATTTTCCTTGCTGGATGAAAAAATGGGGAATTAATATTCAAAATTAACTAAATTTTTTTAATTTTAATTTTCTAGTGCTAAATAAATTTCAAAAATGACTTTTTTGTTTGCAAAGTATTTACCAACTGAAGTTCAACTTGATGTTTTTAAATTTTTCAACTATAATCAATTATGTTCAATCAAACAAACGAATTTATATTTTCGTAATTTTGTTAACGAATTTGAAGTGAAACTTGCTCGAGAGAAATTTGATCAAATAATTATTGTAAGGTTTTTTTATTACTTTAAATTGTTAAATATTTAAGGACTATTCTTATCTACAAAATTCTTCGTCTCATTATAAATTAATTAAACCCAATGTTGAAAATTTTGATTTTGCATTGAATGAAGAACTTGAAGAGAAGGTATAGAATAAATTAAAATATTAAAATTTCCTCTTTTTTAGTGGAAAAATGGAATCAAAAAACCAATTCCTCTTTATTTGGCTAGTCAATATTCGAACAATAATATTGCTATTTGGTTAGATAAAGGTTAAATCTTGTTTAATAACTTTTTTTGAATTTTGATAATTTTCCTTTAACTTTTTTTTAAAGAATTTATTTCGGACGGTTCAAAAATTAAAGGTCTTCAACTTCAACTACCAACCATTATTAGAAGCAAAAATCAAATCAAAATTGTTTATTATTACTTAAACAAATTATTTAATTGTTCTTTTGATTATGGCAACTTTGAAGACTTTACATTCAATCCAGAATTAATTCAATTATTATTTGGAAATTCAAAACAATTTTATATTCGAGGATGTTCTGTGTTTTTGGATTACAATATTGGAAATGTATTAAAATTTATTTTGAATCATCTAATTGTTAGTGAAACTTTTGAAATTAATCTATATGATGAAGACACGACAAAATATACAGATATTTTATTTAAAATTTTAATGTGTGGAGACAAGTTTAACAATGTTTGTTTAGTGTCGGAAAAAGTGCAGAACATTTTTGATTGCATTATAAATGTAAGTTTTTGTGGTTATTTTCTTGGCCCGTCCGATCCTGGGCAGATTGAATAAAATAGGGTTTTCTCTCATTGGGAGAACTCAAACAATCCTAATTTTCACAAACTGAAGCCCCATAACTTTTTAGTCTCATATTTCTGGGGAAAAAAACAAAATTTTCTAAAGTAAATCAATAATGCTCTATCTATTGGTCAAAAAAAGCCCAAAATTTTGACTTAAAGTTCGAAAGGTTCCCTTGTTAGGACTAGAGACCGGCAAAATCGCACTTCCGGGATCCCGAGTCGGGATTTTTTTCTTGACCGATGTCGGGACGGGATCCCGAGGGATAAATCCCAAAAAAATCCCGGATCCCGGTTGATCCCGAAAATCCCGTCCCGCGCCGGTCTCTAGTTAGGACAATCCTTTTTTCCCGTATGCAGAAATTTCTATAAAATATTTTTGAAGAATCCAAATTTATTTTTATTTTAGCATATTGAAACGTCAAAGGATAGTTCAAAATTGGTGGCTAATATTGAATTACAATGTTGTAATATTCCTTTTACTTTTTTAAATAAAAGAGCTAAAAAAATTGGAAAGAAACTTGTTATCGGAACTTTTGTAGAAACAAAATACCAACTTTCCAGCAAATTCAATCCAAAAATTAAATTTTCTTTTTTATGTGAGGGAAATTTGGAAGTATTTAATAATATTGAAATTGAACGAATTTATTGTTAATGTTTTTTGACAATTTGTTTACTTTTTGGTATTGGATTGGATCCGCTCAGAATTTTTATTTTCTCCAACATTTTCAGAATTATTTTCAATTTATTTTTGAGTTTCTGAGCGGTTTCTAAAAGATTTAAACAAATTTATTTATTTTAATGTTGCGGTGATCTTGACTTTTTGATAAATTTGTAGTTTTATTTTTTTTATTTCTCTAAAAATCTGTTGAAACCTAACAGTAAATATTTGTCAATTTTTTATTCCTAACAATTAGCCTTTTAAGTCCAATTATGGCGACCAAGCAAAATTGTAAGCGAAGTAGGACTTGCAATCAAAGGTGGGTCGGATCAGTCAGAGGTGTTGGAAATAGGAAGATCCGGAAATCGGAACTCAAGTCTGAACTCGCAAATAAAAATTTTTTTCGGAAGTCGGAAATCGGAAGGAAGGAAAAAAAACGTAGGAAATCGGAATTCCGACCCACCTCTGCTAGCAATGAACCGGCGAAGGAAGAATACGGGCCTCCCCCACATTTTGCAATTTTCTTCTTTATTTTTCAATTTTTTTCAGATTTAAAAAGAAATATTTTAGATGTTTCCAAATTTAATAAAATTTGTCAAAACAAATTATTTAACAACAAATATTCGTTTTTGGCACGATCGTTCACAAGTTCCACGAATTGCTGATGACAGACGTAAAAGATCAACAAAATTGGCTGATACGGGCTATTTCTATCGTTATCACCGTCCAGGTGTTGATCCTCTTCCAAGAATTCCAAATTTGAAGGAGCCTTTATTCAAGCCAAAAGACAAGGTTTTTTTTAATTTTCTTGTCATTTTTTAATTTGCTGTGCCTACTTTTAATTAACTGAATTAGATTAATAATAACGTGAAAGTAACGTAAATTTTCAAGGCTTTTCAGATTTTTGGGATTTCACACCAAGAATTAGATAGTTTATTAAAAGAAAAAATAAATTAAGAAAACTTCCAACTCTGAGAAAAAATTTAAAAATTTTTTTTGGATTGGCTAAATTAAAGGATTACTTTTAGTAAATTAATTCCGGTCTTTTCTGTTCAAAAATAGTTTTAATTAAGTGCTATCTTCTCATTTTTATGCTTTACCTATAAAATGTGAAACACTCAAAAATATTTGTTTTCGTTTTTAAGTGAACCTCTTGTTGAATAACAACAAAAAATTAAATCTAAATATCATGGTGGTTTAGGAAATTGTCACAGATTTTTTTTAAACATTTCTTTTTAAAATTAAAAAAAATATTTTTAAAGGTTAAAGACCAATGGAAGGAAAGTAGTGCTAGATTTGGAGAAAATGATTATATTGACATTCTTGGAGATGGTTCTCTACATCCTTCACAACTTCTCTATCACGTTCCGAGATGGTTAAGAGGATTTCCTGGCAATCATAGAGCAAATGAATTAATTAGGAAAATTCATTATAGGTTTGTTTATTTAATTATAAATATTCAGGACTGAAGATGAGGAGGGGCTCTCATTTTATCTTATAATTAGATATTGAAAAGTCAGTGGTAGAACGAAAACTAGCCGAAAATAGAAATGTGTTTCAAATAGAGATTGAACCGAGACGGAATTTTAACACAATTCTCGGTTATCTAAATTTATATTTTTTCAGACGGCAAAAATTTTCAAGGTCATTTTTTAAAGTTTTGTTTTATTTTCCTCGCCGTTGGCCCATAAGATTTTTTATTTTTTTAATTTATCGAGTAAAGACGTTCAGAAATATTTCTGGTAAAAATATTTTGGGTTTATTACCAGAAAAAATATTTCTTGTACCCTATAATAAAAATCAAAATTAATAAATATTAATCTAATTTTTCCTAAAAATTTAAAAAAAAATTTTCGTTTTCAGAAATGTTTACGGCCCAAAAATCCAACAAACTTCTCCCCATTCATTCCATCAATTAAACAAAAGAATTAATTATTTACTTCAATACCACAATTATCACAAACAAGACGAATTAAGTAATGAAAGGGAATTGGGATTGTGGAAGAGGGAGCCAGATTATTTCTTTAAAGACAAACAGAGAAGGTCCTACAAGGATATGGTTTGAATTATTTTTTTGGTTGGAAAAGGAATTTTTTAAAGGTTTTTCTTTGTTATTTTAAAATTTTAAATAAATTTTTTTTCTCTAAAATTTAAATAAAAAATATTAAATTTAAAAAAATTTTGAGCAAAAAAAATTACAAAAAAACTAGATTTATTTTTTTTTCTTTATTTTATTAAAACACAAAAAATTTTAAAAATATTTTCAGACAGTCAAAGCACATCTTTAGGTACTCAATATAGTATTTCCCTTTAATTCGGTTGGGCCTATTTCTACCTTTCTTCAAATTTGGAATTAGAGTAGAGAATTTAAAAGGGATTTCTAGTCCAAATTGTGTATTTAAAAATGAGATTTGACTATACAAATTATTTTATTTTAAAATTTCCAAAAAATTTTTTCTCAAATTCTCGGACTTTGCATTAAATAATCACTAATAGGTCCATTCGGCGCCCATTTAAACGTTTGTCGTCGAGATTTAGTTAATTTACCTGTATATTTTTTGATATCTGTTGGGGTAAATTTCAGACCTTTTATTGACTAAAGAAATTTTAGAAAATTAAAAAAAAAATTTTTTGGTAATTTTCTATTTTACTGTTCCTCTGAAATAATGAGCAAGAAGTACACTTTCGATATTTTTTAGACAATTGTCAGTCCGATGAGTTTAAATTTTATTTATCTCAAATCCCGGAGTAGGAACCAACCAGGTCGATTTCTGATTAAAAATTAATTTAAATTATAGCTAATCTGGCAAAGTGGACAACCATAGGAGAACTACTTGCTCTTATTTCTTCAGGGACCGGTAAACTAGAAAAAATTTTTTTCTCAAAAAAACCGTTTTAAATCCAAAAACATTTTTAAATGTTGTCTTAAAATGTTGATTATTATTTAATAATAACCCTTTACTTTTCATTAAAATTTTTGGTTTTTTATTTTTTCTTTGATTTTTTGAAGAATTTTTTGAAGATTTGTTGGGTGTTTTTGTTGTTGTTTTAGACAAAATTTGTCCCAATTGAAAATTTTGTTTGGCCATAAAATTTTGTGTTCGGGGAGGGTAACGAAATCTGACATTTTTGTTGATTGACTAGAAAATTATTTTTTAGAGGAAGTTTTTAAAAAAAATTCCCTTACATTTACTCCATTATTCCCAACAACATTTCCAAAGAAAAAATTAGCTGAGGTTTCACTTAAAATAATTCTTTTATTGAGAATTAATTAAAAATTAATAATTCCATGCCGGCTCTATGCTCTCCATAATTCTGCAAGTCTCCCTATTATTATGGCTAAAGTTAATCCAAACCAGGGATAGGACTTTCTTCACAGCCGGCGCATCCCTGGTCCAAACGAATCTGTTTGCTTCCGCCGCTTACTTCATAGCAGAGGTCAATCGGAAATGACGAAGGTTTCGGAAATCGGAAGGAAAAACGTCGGAAATCGGAATTCCGATCGATTAGTTACGAAAACCCATCACACCTTACATAATCTACCAGCATTTAGGGAAATTCCCTAATGTTTAATAATTCAAAAATTACCTGCTAAAAAGAAAAGCTGCAAATAAAGGAAATATTTGCTGAAAAGAAATTTTCATTGTCGTCACAATTTTAAATAATATTTGCAAATATAAACACAAATGTTTATTTATATTTTCTTTGAAAGGTTTCAAGTATAAATAAATATATCTATTTATTCCCCTTCTCATTAGATATCCATTCAAAGCATAGTTGTTTACAAAAAAAGTGCCATTTTCTCCGTCATTCACAATACACAAATTAATCCCCCTCCCTTTTATATTAACAAACAAAAATAATTTGAAAGCAACTTTAAAATACTTTAATTGTCTCGTTGCGCCTTGAAAGAGAATTGTGTTACACAGCAACATAAAACAGGCAGAGGGTGCAACCAGCCTTTCAGTGCGGGAGTATGGTTTAGTTGGTTAGTGACAGCGAAAAATGCACAAGGTTCGAATCCTTTCAGTGAAAATGAATTATATAATAAGGAAATCCTAATAATATCTTTTCTAATTAACATTTAATGTCATTTTAAATTAAAATAAATTTTTTCAAATCAATCTTTCCTTTATTTTTCATTTTCTAAATTTACTTATAAAACCATATGTAACTTTTTTTAAACATATTAAAAATCAATAAATTTGGTTTTAAAACAAAGATAAGACTTTGTTTAACGATTTGGCTAAGTTGAAATTTTTTTCTCAAAGTTTTTTTTCGAGATAAAGCTTCTCGAAATTATACATCAAATCTTTAGAGAAATAGCATGCGAAAAAAATAGAGCGATATAGAAAAAGAGAAAATTTTTCATTTATTTCAGTGCCACTGAAACGGCTCTAAGTTGCAGGTTATGTTGCTGTGTGTTACAAATCGTGTCAGGACAGAACTTTGAACGGACACGACTTAGACCGACAAAACCTCACCAGTTACAAAAATGCCTTGAAAGTCACAACGTCTTGAAAGAACGTAGAAGACATTAAATCAATCCCCAATAAATAGGCCCCTAACGAATGTGACATTATAACCCAGTAGACTTTTACGGGTCTTGGACATGAATAAAAATTAATTTTAAAAACAAACAGGGGCAAAGAAAACTTTAATTAAAATTCATCATTTATTTTTAAATAAAATTTCTAATTCAATTAAAAAACAAAAATTTTTTCTCATCTTTTTTCTAAAGAAAAAGGCCCAGGCATTCGCCTCTTCTTTTTATTTGTTGGTTCTTCAATTTCTGCCAATATATTGTCTACCTCTTTGTCTCTAATGTGTTCCAACAATTCTTCTTTATTTAATTTTAAATTATTTTTAATCCAAACATTAAATAAATACTTAAGTACTTTTCTTTAAATTAAATTTTAAATTAAATTTTAAAAATTTTTTCTTTAAAATTACTTCATTTTTGGCCCTTTAGGAATATTTAAAGACATTAAATCAATCCCGCTAATTGGAAATTTCTCAAGATTCCATTCATTTATTTCTTTAAAAATTTGAGAGTCAACAATTCCAATATATTTAATTAATTCCAAATAATTTTGATGAACTACTTTTTGTAATTGACCTTTAATTTAAAAAAAAAAAGAAAATAAAATTTGGATTTTAATTTGGATAAATTAAAATTTTTTTGTAAAAATTTTTGAATTATACCAAAAAGGATATTCCAAAAAAGGAGTTGTGGGGGGAGGGGGGGATAGTTTATTCAAGTTGCGAGTTCTGTGCTGATATTTTTGCCATAAGGTTAATCAGCAACTATGTGCTCCATTTACTCGAGTAAGAGAATCAGAGATTTTACCAATTTCTCGAATCTCCCTTTTATAAAATTGTCCCAGAAAAAAGACTACAAAGGAAAGAAATCTTTAATTTTTACCCCTTTTATTTAAAATACCCCTAACTTCAAATGACAATTTCTAGGCTTTAAAAAGTATCCAAAAATGAGGTCTGATTGTATGATGGAGAGATATGGATGCTCTCCTATTTATAAAATTTTTTCTGGTATTACTCAAAAATCAACAATATTATTTTAAATTTTAACCTCCTCTTTCAAATATTTCATCCAAAATTGCATATTTAAAATAATTAATATCATTTTTGTGTTTCATAGCCTCCTCTCTTTTTTGTACAATTAATTCACAAAGCCATTTTTCTGCATTTGAACATTTACAACGAGACTAGAAGAATTAAATTGATAAAAATTAAAAATAAATTCAAATAATTGTAAAAAACAACGATTTCTTCCACTTATCGACTTGTAACTTTTTCAAGAGTGATCAGACTAAAAATTATCAGACTAAAGTCTAAAAATCAGACAAAAATTCTCTAAAATTCTTTTGAATTTTAGTCCAGTAGGACAACAAAAAATCTCGGGTTTTGGAAATAGAGAAGTTTGGGATTTTTTAAGATCGAAACCTTTTCCCCTCTATTCCCTTTTAATTTTTCAGTTCTTCAAATAAATAAAAAAAAACCTGAAATCTTTCTACATCTTCAATTTTATTAAATAAAGCACTTAATAAAGTGCTTGGTGCTGCAGCCAAAGGTCCATCCTCTCCTTTCGGCGAATTTACTTTAGCCACTCTTTCAAATTCAGCAAATCCTACATTTTCAGGCAAACACAAAAAAGGCCCCAATTTACACGTTAAAAGCATTTCTTTAATTACAGAAGATGCCATTCTTCCAATTAAAATTTTGTTAAATTCCATCCATAATCTTTCACCGCTTATATTCTAAAAAATAAAATTTTAAAAAATAAGTGAGGAAATGAATCGAAATTAGAAACCAGATTGCCCAAATCAAAATATTTGATCAAATACTTAGGTAATACTCTCATACTAATTCCATTAATTTTTTATGGTCATTACTCAAAAATGGACAATAATTTTCATAATTTGTCCAGATTAATTTTTAAAAAAAATGATTTTTTTTTCATTTTTCAATTAATATTCGAAGAGTCTGATAACAGGATCACCAACACAAAAAATTTTCTATTGGTTTAACAAAAATTTTGTTCAACAATTTCGAAGAATATTCATTTTTTTCTGGTATTTAACCTCCATTGATATAAATTAAATTTTTCTTTTTTTTTTAAACTTAACCAAGATTTTAAAGAAAAAATGAGGGGAAAGTGGAGAAAATGTTTTATATTATTAATCAAATATTTGATTTTCCGGTCTCTAACTTTTTAAAAACAAATTAATTTAAAAAAATAAACTTAAAACAAACCTTAAGACCATCCTTGCATTTTATAATAGCCTCAATATTTTTAGGTTCGTGTGTAGCGCCAACGGGGGCAAAGCGCCCAAAAAATCGAAAATAGCGGAGAATACGAAGAAAATCCTCAAATTAATTTTTATTTATTTCTTCAATCCAAAAAACCTCTTGTAGTCTGATAACAGGATCACCAACAAAAGAAATCCTTTTATTTTTAATATCTTCAATTCCCCCAGTATAATCATGCACAAATCCATTGAGATCGAGGAATAAAGAATTTATTGTTAAATCTCTGCGAAATGCATCTAAAAAGTAAACTCCTTAAATTAAAAATTTTTTTTAAAAACCTTCTTCCCAATCTTTAGTAAATTTAACTGCTGCTCTTCTCCCATCACAAACTACATCAATTCTGATTTAAAAATTATTTAAATAATTTTTTTAAAATTTTAATAGGTTGTCCCCTTTTAACATTAAAATTTCAGTAATTGATTTTTTAAAAATTAAAAGGACCTAACTTGTGAAAAGAAGGTTATCCCAAAAAGAACCCTCAATTAATATTCTAATAAATTTCAAAAGTAAAATACACCCATGGTTTATAATTATTAAAAATACCTCAATGTCGTTATTTCAAAATTTTCTTTGTCATCTATTCTGCATGTAATAGTCCCTAGAAAATAAACAAAATTTCAAATAAAAATTATTGATTACCATGCTCTTCTCCATTTTTATTTAACATTCGAATTTGTTCCTGTGTAAAAATTTCCTTCATTTGTAAAGGAGTTGCATCCGTTGCAAAATCAACATCTGAAGGCCTTACACCCATTAACAAATCCCTAACCGCCCCTCCAGCCATTCTATTAAAAAAATTTTATTTTAAATTATTGAAAATTAAAAAAACCTTAATTCAAATCCATTAGAGGTAAAAATTGAAGAAAGTTTTTTTAATTCTGGAGTAAAAAGAGCATGAAATTCAGGAGAGTCTAATTGCATTTTGAGTGGATATTTAGCCAAAACGGTAGCTATTCTACTAAAATGGCGAATAATTCTCATAAAAATCTGTAAAATTGTGATGAGAAATTTAAGGGATGGAAGAGAATATCTGTCGGAAAGATTAAATCTCATTCCAGACTTTCTGAAAATAGTACAAACAGTCTCTCGACTTCCATCTCCCTCCCAAAAATGGAATCAAAAATAAAAAATATGAAAACAACTTCAAAAATAAAATTATTTTGGTCATCCTTACAATTAGCACTTAATAAATTAAAATATTAAAAACGACATATGTACATGTGTTTGTATTCATTAAAGAAAATGCTAATAATTAAAAACGTTTTTTATTTAGATTTTTAAAATCTTTTATTAAATCAATTTAAAGGCAACAATGAAAAAATTATGATACAAGAATAATTTTGGAATATTTTTTAAAGTATTTAGAGGCTTTGATATGCGATTTCTTAAAAAAAGTTCTTTTTGGAATTAAACCTTTTGTTTTAAATATTTTTAAATTAAAATACTTTTCATGGATTGACTCTTATAAATCTGTTAAAATTTAAAAAACATGCCAGGAAAAATTTTAGGTTTGTAACAGAGTAACGGAGCAAGCGTTGAGTTGAAAAATGTCAACCCCTTAACCCTAGTTAAAATTTTTAAAGACCGGAATTCCTTCTCATAATCAAAGCCAATTTAAACATAATATATCTTTTCTTTTGATAAAAGTCACAAAAAACCTTCAAGTTGGCAAGATCGACATTAGAGGTAAATCCATAGGAAAAGTAACAGGAAATAGCTTGACATGCGTTTGCCATTGGGCAGAGATTTGAAAAAAGCGAACACCTTTCCACAACACTCCATCAATTGTTACATTCATTCCAGCATCTTTTTTACCAATTCCACCACCTCCACTAGTACAGACAATACGAGTTACACCAGAAACAACTCGACTTTGTGCACAGAAACCGGCAGAGTTGTTTTCAAATGATTTCTTTAAAATTATTTTTGATTAAAATTAAATAGTAGTAAAGGCAAGAAAACCCTTTTCCTATTTAGGAGTTTTTAAAAATCTCAATTGTGTATAAGTCAAAGTAAACACCCTAAATCATCGATATGTAGGAATAAGAGTGGCAGGCAAACTATCTCACAGAATCCGTGCTCAGATTCTGTAATACTTTTTAGGATCCACAACTGAAAATAATTCTTTGAGAACATTCCCAGGAAAAAATCATCTCAACCCATCCTCCCCCACAATTTTCCCTTAAATCTTAAAAAAAATACCTGTTTACTTCTCCTTCCCAATTTTTGAAGCACTTTATCCTTTTTCCTTTCCTTCACAAAAAGAATTGACAACAAATGATTCAAAGGTTCACGTGCAATTGAAAGTGTTCTAACTGACGCTTTCATTGAAAACTTGCTACCACTTGTTGTTGAAATATTACTAGTTGATGGACTACAAAAATCGTTATGAAAAGAGGATTGTGCTGTTTGTTGAGTAAATGCTGGTGGAGAACAAGGATAATTTGAAGTTGTCCAATATTCAATTTGGAGTTCACGTGTTAATGGAGAAGATGTTGAGGTTGAAGGTTCTGTACCAGTTGGTGTTGAATGTAGAATTCTTAATATAAATAATTTTGAGTATATTAAATTAGAGAAGAAATTAAAGGAAGGTAAAATTAACAGAAGGAATATATTCTAGGAGAAGTTCATCAGAAAATATTTATTTGAAAGACAAATCGGTACTTTGTTAATAAACCACCCCTACCACTATTTGAGCCTCTAATTAATTTTCCTTCCTTATTCGTCAATCATTTATTTCCATCAAAAATTATAAGTAAAATGAAAGAAAGTCAAATCCCCCGAGAAAGCCCTAATTAAATTTCTAAAAAAATTTACTTTGCAGATCCAACATTTCGTTGTGGGGAAGTATTAACATTTTGCTGCTGTAGTTGATGTTTCTGTTCTAACACATTTTCATCTTCATTAATTTCCTTTTCTTTTAATTCAATTCCTGCTGTATTAGCCAATGCATTTAAGGCAGATGGAATGCTTGGAGAAGAGTGTGAATGTTGTGTTGGGTTATAAATTGATCTTGGGGTTTTTGCAGAAGTATTTATAGAATTGGCAATATTTGCATCTATTGAAGAACATTCAGGTGAAAACTTCAAAAATTAATTTTTAATTTAAAAAATATAAGAAAAAAACCTCAGTTAAATGCTCATCAGCCTGTGCAGTTTGACTGCTAATAAAATGTAATGATGCAAGATTTGTTGATGTTTCACTGTTTGATGGCTGCTCTCCACCAACAGTAGAGCAAGTTAATAATTCGGCGAGAAATGGGACAAATACCTTTATTAAAAAATTTTTTAACAAAATAAATTATAATTAAAAATATATTTTCTCGTTTTTAAAATCCTAGTCATCTAGGATTTTAAAGCCCAAAGTTCCTAGAACTTGGAATAATCCTCATAAGGCTATTGGATAATCCAAATTGGAAATTTTACGGTTTTTCTGACAATTTTAGGGACAGCAATAAAACAATGTTAATTAAGGATTGTTAGAGACCGAGTTGGTTTGAATCCAGACCTATATTTTTCCTGGATCCAGAGTCAAGTGCAAACCTGTAATTTTCCATTTAAAATATCAGATGTCCCATTTTCGCCTTTATAACCAAATTGTCCTCCACTACTTTTATTTTTACATAATTGTAACATTGCTTCTCCAATTTGTAAATTTGTACAACGTTTATTTTCCTGAGAACCTTGGAGGGCGACAAGACAATTTCGAATTTCAATTAATTGATCAGTTAAATTGGAATAATTTTCTTCACGAAAGGCAAGAGAAACACTTTGAATTACCTAATAAATAAAAAAAAATATTTTTATTAAAATTAGAAAACCTTCCATATAGCTTCAGAATAACCACCAAAACCCGCTACTTGACTAAGCAAACGGCCTATAGCACTAGCTGGAGGTAAAACCAATGCAAAACGTAAATAATAAAGCCAATCTTCTTTGCAAGCCTTTTAAAACGATTAAGTAAAAAATCAAAAAAATTAATTAAAAACCTTGTCTTGTAATAAGTGAACATAAGCGCGCAAAATATTTGAAAGTAAATGATCCCCTCCCAAAACTCCAATAATTGAAACAGGCGGAGAAATTGAATTATAATTACAACTAAAAAACATATAAAATAAAAGAATCCTTTTAAAAAATTATTTTTAAACTAACAAATTTTGTATTTTTCCAATAACAGCTTGTAACATCATTTTAACACTTCCTTCTGTTGGGCAATCAAAAAGATTTATTGGTTCTAATGCTTTTGAATTAACTGAAAAGATTAAAATTTTATAAGAAACTTCATTCAGAAACCTTTAGAAAGCCAATTTAAATCTTTACTTGAACAAATCCATATATGTTCGGGAACAATTTGATTGTTTGACATTGACAAATTATCCAACCGTTTCAACTAAAAATTTTTAAAATTTTCTTTAAAAAATCAAAATTTACCAAATCTTCCATAGAATCAAGCACAACTTTGTTTTGAGGAGGTTCAATGTTTGATAATACTGATTGAAGAGTTTCCGAGTGTGTAAGAGGTAAAGGAGGGCGAACATAAAAATTTGGTTTCCCATGAGATTCCTTTCGGGACTAAAAAATAAATTCAAAAAGAAATTTTAAAAATTTAATAATACCACATCAAATGGTTCAGATTCCCGTTTATTTTGTTGTTGTTGAGATTGCTGGATATCATCGTTGGAACTTGCAAACTGAAAGAAATTTTTAACAAAAATTTAGCATGTATAGTCAGGCCCGTTTCCAGGATTTTTTCCGGGAGGAGGGCAAGTGAGAAAAATTTTTGAACTGAATTTTTGGCCTCGAAGGCGCCAAAAATTTCTTCCTTATTCAGCTAACTTGTCTACGGGCCTGAGTCTACGGGGACATTCACTTATAAAATTTTAAAAAATCGAAACAATCAGTTCACTGTCTCAACGAAAAAGTTACTTATTTTCATAAATCTACCTAATCACAAGCCAAAGAATTTGCAATATTTTTTAAATTAACCTCACTGTCGTCAGTAATTTCATCCGAAAGAAAAGGATATTCATCATTTCGATAATCTTCAATAGGAGGCATAATATCTGATTTAGAGCCAAAAAATGGACGGATTTTTGGTCGTGGATTACTCACAATACTTGACAAAAATAAATTCTGAAAAAATACTCAAAAAACCTCATTTTGTCAGGTTCAAGTTCCGGGCCAGAATCACTAATATTTCCAAGTTCTTCAAATATTTCTTCCAATTCTTGCTCTGTTGGAGGAACTATAGAACGAGAAGAAAGGGGACATTCTAACACCGTCTAAAAATCATTTAAAATTATAATATTGTTAAATAAATAAATACTTCATCTTCAGGTTTAAATTTTCGAAGAAGAGCAACAATTCTTTGTTTGATATTTCGTTGTTTAAGAAATTTTTTCTGCCGACGCTAAAAATATTAAAAATAATAAAAATAAACTAATAAAAGAAAAAAATAATTTTAAGAAAATCATTTTCATTACCTGATCATTAGAACGTCCTCTCGGAGTGTCATCCATATCTGATTCACTTTCTTCCCCAGTTGTAAATTCTTCGGGCTCTTCTTCACTCAAAACCATTGGCTCTTTTTCACTAACTGTAGCAACAAGTCTTTGCCGTCTTCTAGAACTGGATGGACCAGAATAAGGTTCCGGCGATTCTGCAGATGAGGTGAAGCAAGAGTTTACGTAAATTTTGCCAGCATGGAGTTCTTAAATTTATAAAATGTTTAACTATAAAAATATTGAAAAGATCATAATGAGTCGATAACGATTCTAACCTATGCAACTAACTCGCATTACAAGTCATAATCTTATTAGCCGTTTTATTTAATCTTTTAACCCATAAAACTATAAATTTATAAATTCCAAACCTCTCATTGAATGCCTTGCTTTATTTAAACAACTAGCATCCCAAATAATTATTTCTCTAGAACCACCAAATTGTAAAATTTCGTCCAAATTTAATCTTCCCATTGCCAAAGTTTTGAATCCAGGAATTTGTCTATTTTTGTAACGTTTACGTCTTTGAATTAATATTTGGAGATTATTTGATTTTCTTTTGACATAATGAGAATATTGGATTGTAAAAGAAATATCAAGTGGAGTTTCAAGTTTTGTGGGAGAAATGCATAAATCATTACTGCGTAAAATGCGACGATTACCCTAATATTTTTTTAAAATTATACATAAAACAAAAATTCGATTAAAAACCTGTAATCTAACAGCAATAGTAAAAGGAGTAGTTTCAGAGGTAATTAATGTTTTTGTGAGGACTAGACGGGTAAAAACCATCGACAAAGTTCTGAAAAATTTTTGAAATATTCTAAAAAATATTTTCGATAAACCTTTGTACAGCGATTGAGGAAGAAGTACGATCAACATCCCAATTAGCATAAAAACGCATTGAAAGAACATTCTGTGGCAAGACAGGTTTATTTGAATTCATCAGAAGAAATTAAGAATTTGACAAAATTAAGGAGAACTTGACAAGAATTTAATTTAAATTTTACCTAAAATTAATTCAATAAAAATGCAATAAACAAAACAAATTAAAAATTGCCACTCTGAGAATGCAGACTCGAATGGTGGATGCTAGCTTTGGACAGCTGACAAATTAACCAGTAAAGTCGTAGCACTGAAAAACGCTATTACAAAATAAATCAACACTAAAATTCAAAACATAAAATGAAAATATGGCTGAAACCTATCAATGTTTTTAAGAGATCAACAAAATTAGAAAGAACACCGTGTCGTGAAACGAACCAGTAAAAATAGTAATGGTAAACTAAACAAATTTTTTATTTAAAAACAAATCCCAAAATTCCATACAAGCAAAAAATTAAATACAATAATCGGCTAAACTACAGTTTCCGTACCAGGCTCAGAATTGAACGATTTATATGTCATTCGAAAGAGCTCGTCGAGCTGAGTCGAATGACACCAAAATTTTTCAGCGGAAAAAATTCTGAGCCGAGTTACAGACCACTAAAGTTCAAAAAACCATAGGGGGGACCAAGCTGTTTTCTGGGGGTGAAAAATTCGAATATGCAAATTATACCTCATTCGAAAGAGCTCATCGAGCTGCGTCGAATGACACCAAAATCAATGAAATCAGACTTGATTTGACAAAGTTATGCTCGTTTGTTTTAGCTCCTTACCTTTGTTCTCCGTGGATGTTCTTGCTGCTGCGGAGGAAGCTGGGCATGCCCATCACAGCGATAATTGGAATAGGATTAAGTTACGAGCCCAGACCCAGAGCCCGTAGACTCCCCGCGAGGCGCGTGCCGCAAAACTCCGCGCGAAGCGCGGAGTTTTGCACAAGCGCCTCGCCGACGCCCCATAGGTTTACGTTGTTTGTTTTTTCTGTCATAACTTTGAACAAACTTGACCAATCACGGAGATTTTGGTGTCATTCGACTCGGCTTGAAGAGCTTTTTCAAATGAGCTATTAATTGCATATTCGAATTTTTCACCCCAAAAATCAGCTTGGTCCCCCCTATGGTTTTTCGATTTTCAGGGGCCTGTAACTCGGCTCAGAATTTTTTCCGCTGAATAATTTTGGTGTCGTTCGACTCAGCTCGACGAGCTCTTTCGAATGACATATAAATCGTCCAATTCTGAGCCTGGTACGGAAACTGTAGTTAGGCCCAATAATCAAATATTTATCAAAGAAAAAACAAAATAGTCAACGTCTCGTTTCACTCATTAAATTTGTGGCCCTAAAGAGGGCCGTTTGGGTTTGGTTGTTGGTGGCGTTGTTCTGCCAATCACTTTGACGAAGTGTACTTCGTCACCGCCTTTGTTCCTTCAGAAACTGCGTGCTTTGCCAGCTCTCCAGGCAGAATCAGACGAACGGCCGTTTGCACCTCACGAGAAGAAATGGTGGAGCGCTTGTTGTAATGCGCAAGACGCGAGGCCTCAGCAGCAATTCGCTCAAAAACGTCGTTGACAAACCTTAGAAAATAAAATTTGATATTGTAAAGTAAAAACAAAATTATTACGAGTTCATGATGCTCATTGCCTTTGAGGAAATCCCAGTGTCCGGATGGACTTGTTTGAGAACACGGTAGATGTAGACCGAGTATGATTCCTTTCGCGTCTTCCTTCGCTTCTTGTCGGTAGTACGCACAGCTTTCGTCGACTTCACAGCTTTCTTCGCTCCTTTACCAGAAGGTTTTGGAGGTGCCATTTAAATATTTTTAGCTTGTTGTTTTGAACGTTGTTTTTAAAGCGGTTGGAAAATGAGGAATAATGGTCAACCTAAGACTTTTATACAAAAAGAAATGCCCGCCTTTTTGTTGTCACATTAAGGTTAGAGAACAAGAAAGCGTCCCCTTCAAACATTGTCTAACCGTTAATAATGTCTAACTATTAAGTGAATAGAGAAAAATAAAAATAGTAATTATTTTTAAAAAGAGAGTTGCAGACGAAATTGCAAGCCATATTTCGGCTCCTATACAAAGGATCGTTTTTTAAAGGGTCGCCCTGTTAAAGGATCGTCACGGGCAAAAAGTATTAAAGGGCCGTTCATTAAAGGATCGTCCATCAAAGGATCGTCACGCGTAAAAACGTTCAAAGGGTCGTCATTTTTAAAAAATTTCATAAAGCCAGTTCAGTGCCATCAGTTTGGTTGCAGTGATGTGCCAGTCTGATAAATGGTGATTAAGAGGGATATCGGGGGATTTGAAGGATTAACGTGAATCAATTTTTCACGTCGAGGCGAAAATTTGAGATGGATATCCACGGATTTGAGTATCATATCCGTGCTCATTCGTATTCATAAAAAATTATCCATATCCGTCCGCATCCGGTTATATCCGTGTATATCCGGAATTTATCCATATTCATGAGCAGGTCTGCATTCAATTAATAAAAAATTATGTGAAAGTTTTAAAGAAAATAGACCCGAGGCAAAAAAAAAAACGAAAAAAATCTCTAAAAAATATGGGACTCAAACGTCTTCTTTTGGATGGGAACACAAAAACGATCCTTTGATGTTTTACCCGTGACGATCCTTTGATGGACGATCCTTTGATGGGCGACCCTTTAATACTTTTTGCCCGCGACGATCCTTTAATTGTTTTTAGACGTTACGATCCTTTGAACGTTTTTAGCCGTGGCGATCCTTTTATGTTACGATCCTTTGTAGGGACACGCATATTTCTTTTCTTCAACAGCAAAATATTAGGTAACGCCTCCATTTTCATCTAACAAGTTCAAGCTCGTATAAAAGCAGAAAACGAACAAAATTCCTCACAGTTCGCTGTACTCAACTTTTGCTGCTTAAAATTTTAACTATCAACAACAACGACCAAACATGTCCGGACGTGGTAAAGGCGGAAAAGGTCTTGGAAAGGGAGGCGCTAAGCGTCACCGAAAAGTTTTGCGTGATAACATCCAAGGAATCACAAAGCCGGCAATCCGTCGATTGGCACGTCGTGGTGGAGTGAAACGTATTTCCGGGCTCATTTACGAGGAGACTCGAGGTGTTCTGAAGGTCTTCCTTGAAAATGTGATCCGCGACGCAGTAAGATTTTTAAGAAAATTTTTTGATTTTGACTTTTTAATTTCCCAGGTAACTTACTGCGAACACGCCAAACGAAAGACGGTCACAGCCATGGACGTCGTCTATGCGTTGAAGCGCCAAGGACGTACTCTTTACGGATTTGGTGGCTAAAGAACAATTGGTGGAAGGCAGCTGAACTGCAACAACAAACCCAAACGGCCCTCTTTAGGGCCACAAATTTAATGAGTGAAACGAGACATTTACTATTTGAATTTTGTATAAATTTATTTTTCTTTTTTTTTGCTTTACCTCAAATAAAATTTTTGGTTTTTACCAGTGAATTTTAGAATAGTATGTACCGTATTTTTCCTAATAGTGCGACTCTTCCTATTAGACCGACCCCTCCTAATACACCGACCCCCTAGAGGGAGATTGAAAAATAAACCGACTGTCTCTATTAGACCGACCCCTTCTATTAAACCGACCCCCTTACTTCCAGCGTTAATGTTGTCTTTTATATTTTATAGGCATATTCTTTTATAGAGCAAAGTTTGAAAAATGCCGGATTCGGTTTCTGGATTTTCAAAATTTTCCTTATCCGGATCGGATTTCCTGATCAGGAAAATCCTGATTTTCAAAAAAAAAATTAAAAAATTTCGCAATAAATAAACAAATTAGTTAAAATTAGGTTAAAAGCGGGGCATTTAAACACAGTTACTTGAAACAAGTTTTATCGAGAACATCAAGAAGGATATCGATGGAGGCCCTATCCCAAAATAAGGGCGGAATCGTTTTTTTTTCATTAAATGTAAGGAAAGGAAAAATGGAAAGGAAAACGAAGACGGACAGACAAAACACGGACGAAGACGGACAGCAAAACTCGGACGGTATGTGTGTTTTGTCCGTCCGTGTTTTGTCTGCCCGAGTCCGTCCGTGTTTTATTTGTCCGTGTCCATCCGTCTCCTTTCTCCTTTCCATTTTTCTTCATTTTTCCTTTCCTTACATTTAACGAAAAAAAAACGATTCCGCCCGTATTTTGGGATAGGGCCTCGGTGGATTCTCTTAATCCATCGATGGTTTTCTAAATTCTTTTCTTCCTTGTCAGCGCCGCATGGGAAAATTTCGAAGAATTGGAGGCGAAAGTGCCATATTTCTTCCTTTTTCACCGCCAAAGGCGAAAACCCCTAGAGCCGAAAATCCCCTAGAGGAAGGTCGAAAAATAAACCGACTGTCTCTATTAGACCGACCCTTTCTATTAAACCGACCCTCTAGAGGATGGTTGAAAAATAAACCGACCGGTCGCACTATTAGGAAAAATACGGTATTTTTATTTTGATGTAGCTGGAGAATGGAATGCGTTTGCGATGTGCTCCTGTTTATAATTCCATTTTACAAATCTCAAATTTATGTTTTCTACGGTTTATAATTTTTTTATCGTTATTTTCCATCTTTAAAAAAACAACTAGGCCAGGTTGTAAAGTGGATGAGGTTTTAGCCAAAGTAGAATAATTAATGCTTGAAAAATAAATTATCTTCATAAAATTACACTACATGAGGTAGATCCTCGAACAAATATCGCAGCAACTAAGAAGATCCTCAAATATCCCGATATCAACCTTTTTCTTCCTATGTATATCCTCTCCAAATCACCCTATTTCTTTCATAAAATTATTTTTTCCCATTACTTTACAATTCCTTGTATTAATCATCAACTATTTTGTTATTCACATTTAATTTTTATATGGCTTGGGTTTTTATGTTGTGCTGTTAACATTGTTCACCTATGTCTCCTTGAAAATAAAACCAACATTTAGTTCCATTTTAGAAGGCTTTTTGTTCTTTTATGCCTTTTCGATGAGAAAATACTAAAAATCGGCGGGCAAAAACAAAACAGCTTGGCTTGCGTTTTTAAAAAAATGTTGCTGAGCAAAATTCTCAACCTACTTGAAAATTTAGCAGGGCCGTCACATAAACTACGCTAGTAAACAAATTGTATCAAAACTTTTTGGCTTGTCCGCCTCGAAAAATTAAGAAATTTGGAAAAAATTACCCGGTTAAAGTAGAATAAAAGACACAGTCACCCTGTAAGCCGTTATGTATCTTCTACTTCAATGCTATTGGGTCCTGGTCTGAACAAATAGCCGTAAGGTAGAATGGCCGGTAATCCTAATCATCGTATGATCGACGTTTGGTCGGCCGGCGGTTTATCCTGACTCCAAGTATTATCCTGCCACACTATAAATATTCAATATTTGGGTAGTTGCTCAAAAAGTTGGAAATTAAAAAAAATTAATAGAAAATTTATACGATTTTTAAATATGTTTTGATTTAATAATTTTCCTGTTCTAAAAAAACCTTACAATTTGTCAAAGTTAATAACTAGAACAAAATTTGGCTGTAGTGTAGTGTACCGGTGGTAAAAGTTCGGGACGTGACATATGTCATTCGATTCGTCTCGACGAGCTGAGTCGAACGGTACCACTCCCTACTTTAGGAAATAATTCTGGACCGAGTTATAGGTCCCGAAAAATCGAAAAACCATAGGGGGGACCAAGCACTTTTTTGAGGTGAAAAATTCGAAAATGCAAATTATACCTCATTCAAAAGAGCTCGTCGAGCTGAATCGAATGACACCAAAATCAACAAAATCCGACTTGATTTGACAAAGTTATGACCGTTTGTTTTAGCTCCTTACCTATGTCATTTGTGGAGATTTTTGCTGCTACGGAGGCCCCAAATACGTCTAGAGCAAGGGAGATAGGAATAGGTTTATGTTACGAGCCCAGACCCACCGCCCGTAGACTCCCCGCGAGGCGCGTGCCGCAAAACCCCGCGCGAAGCGCGGGGTTTTGCACAAGCGCCTCGCCGACGCTCCATAGGTTTAGGTTTTTTTGTTTCTTGTATCATAACTTTGTCTAATCTTGTTCAATCACGGTGATTTTGGTGTCATTCGACTCAGCTCGACGAGCTCTTTCGAATGAGGTATAATTTGCATTTTCGAATTTTTCACCTTAAAAAAGTGCTTGGTCCCCCCTTTGGTTTTTCGATTTTTCGGGACCTATAACTCGGTCCAGAATTATTTCCTAAAGTAGGGAGTGGTACCGTTCGACTCAGCTCGTCGAGACGAATCGAATGACATATGTCACGTCCCGAACTTTTACCACCGGTACACTACACTATATCCCAAAATTTAGAGTTTCCCAGCTCTCGTGTAATTTTCTTAAAATAGAAAAAAACAAAAACTAACAAGTTGGCAGAATTCTATTCGCATAATTCATACTCAAAAAAGACGACAAATCACTAAATAAAGCGTCAAAAAATGCCAAATTTTAAATAAATTACCACAAAAATTAAAAAAAAAAGAAAATTAAAACAAAAAACACAAAAAATAGTCAATGTCTCGTTTCACTTATTACATTTGTGGCCCTAAAGAGGGCCGTTTGGGTTTGGTTGTTTGTGTTCACACTGCATTCATCTACGTACGCTCGCCACGGATTCGTCGGGCAAGTTGGATGTCTAAAAATTTAATTTTTTTAAAAATTGATTAGTAATTCCTCAAATCCCACCCTTTGGCATGATGGTCACACGTTTGGCGTGGATTGCACACAAGTTGGTATCTTCGAAAAGACCAACAAGATATGCCTCAGAAGCCTCTTGCAAAGCAAGAACAGCGCTAGATTGAAAGCGAAGATCGGTCTTGAAGTCTTGCGCAATCTCTCTAACCAGCCGTTGGAATGGAAGCTTGCGGATAAGTAATTCAGTCGATTTTTGATAACGACGAATTTCACGCAAAGCTACGGTTCCTGAAAAAAGTGAAGTATCTCAATGAGACAAAACTAAAAGTATTTTCTTGCCTGGGCGGTAGCGATGTGGCTTCTTCACACCTCCAGTTGCCGGTGCAGATTTGCGCGCAGCTTTGGTGGCAAGCTGCTTACGCGGCGCCTTTCCTCCAGTAGATTTACGAGCTGTTTGTTTTGTACGAGCCATTTTTGTTGTAAAGCTTTGTTGTTGTTTTTAAGTTGAAGAACACTTTTTACTTTTGAAAAGTGAGGGTCAAACCTAGGAAAAAGTCTTAAATATTGCGGTCATTTTTTTAACACGCCCACAACAAGAAAAAAATGAAGCTAGCTTGCCCGCCAAAAATTATAAAACAAGATTTTATGTAATAGAAAGAGAAAATAAAATAAGTAAAGATAATGGGTTAGACATCTAAAGAAAGTTTTTTCTTCCATATTTAATTTTGTCTGATTATCTAGTCCCCAATTTCAACACTATCTTTATTATATCCTGCCTCACACCATGGCGTCGTTTCTGCGTCTCTTTTCAGCAACAAAGACCGCCCTTTTTCTTTCATTTCTATTTAAGACTTCTTCCTGTCCACCTCACAGTTTCACTGTGACCAGCAAAATTTACAAGCTTTTCAAAAACTTTAACGGTTTTCAAAACAATGTCAGGACGAGGAAAAGGAGGCAAAGCAAAGACTGGTGGAAAGGCGAAAACTCGCTCTTCGCGTGCCGGACTTCAATTTCCTGTTGGACGTCTGCATCGCATTCTCCGCAAAGGACACTATGCTGAGCGGATCGGCGCTGGTGCTCCCGTCTACATGGCCGCCGTTCTTGAATACTTAGCCGCTGAGGTTCTTGAATTGGCAGGCAATGCTGCTCGAGACAACAAGAAGACTCGCATCAATCCACGGCATTTACAACTTGCCGTGCGAAATGACGAGGAACTTAACAAGGTTGGGAGTTTCTTTTCAATTTAAGTTTTCATTTTTTAAATTTTTAGTTGCTCTCTGGCGTGACCATCGCGCAAGGCGGAGTGCTTCCCAACATCCACGCCGTTCTGCTGCCTAAGAAGACTGCAGGCGAGACTGCTTGAAGAATTGCTGTGCATCAAAAACCAAACCCAAACGGCCCTCTTTAGGGCCACAAATTTAATAAGTGAAACGAGACATTGACTATTTTGTTTTTTTTTTGTGTAAATTTTTGTATTTTATTAATTTTTGGGGTAATTTATTAAAAATTTTGCATTTTTTGAAGGTTTAAACTTTTCCAATAGTTGAGAGGTTTAAACTTGCCAACTTGTTGAGTAAATTTTTTATCTTTTTGAGGAACTTTTTTTTACTCTCGGAGTAAAATACCGGGCCGACCACAAAAAGCAAATAAATGCATGAAAGTGCACTTGTAAGGAACGTCGAATTTGACTCAACTAAGAATGCAAACTACTTATTGGGAAAGCTTTTCGTTTTTGCCTAGTGGTTTCTTAATATGAGGGAAATGCATTGGAATGCCGATAGAATAAGGATAAAATTTGAGTTGACTTGTCTATCAACCTATTTTGGTCACTAATTTTGGACAAACTATTAAAAATACCGAAAAAACAATTATCTCAACAATTTACATAAGAACAATTTACAATATATACAATGGCTATACAACAAATAGATCACAATACATTTACAAACAATATATATCTATATATCACAGAGCAATTATCCTCTTTCTTCTACATTTAGGCTTCACTTTTCTCTAGTCGTTTGCCATCATCCCATTTACAATTTGCGCCGCCACAGAGCTGTTGGAGTAGTCGGTATAGTAGGCGTGCGGATTCTCCATCTCCTTGTCCACGTAGAACGATGCGCGACGAGCAACTCTTGCTTTGTACGTGTGACCTTTAAAAAAGGGAAATTAGATTTTAGGCCGGCAGTTTTTGTTAGACTCACTCAGTTTGAGTGTTCCAATGACGAATGATTGAGGCTCCTCTTGGCCTAACTACAGTTTCCGTACCAGGCTCAGAATTGGACGATTTATATGTCATTCGAAAGAGCTCGTCGAGCTGAGTCGAATGGCACCAAAATTATTTAGCGGAAAAAATTCTGAGCCGAGTTACAGACCCCTAAAGTTCAAAAAACCAAAGGGGGGACCAAGCACTTTTTTGGGGTGAAAAAATCGAAAATGCAAATTATACCTCATTCGAAAGAGCTCGACGAGCTGAGTCGAATAACACCAAAATCACCGTGATTGGACAAGATTAGACAAAGTTATGACAAAAAACAAAATGCCTAAACCTATGGAGCGTCGGCGAGGCGCTTGTGCAAAACCCCGCGCTTCGCGCGGGGTTTTGCGGCACGCGCCTCGCGGGGAGTCTACGGGCGCTGGGTCTGGGCTCGTAACATAAACCTATTCCTATCTCCCTTGCTCTGGACGTATTTGGGGCCTCCGTAGCAGCAAAAATCTCCAAAGATGCCATAGGTAAGGAGCTAAAACAAACGGTCATAACTTTGTCAAATCAAGTCGGATTTCGTTGATTTTGGTGTCATTCGACTCAGCTCAAGGAGCTCTTTCGAATGAGCTATTATTTGCATATTCGAATTTTTCACCCCCAGAAAACAGCTTGGTCCCCCCTATGGTTTTTTGAACTTTAGGGGTCTGTAACTCGGCTCAGAATTTTTTCCGCTGAATAATTTTGGTGACGTTCGACTCAGCTCGACGAGCTCTTTCGAATGACATATAAATCGTCCAATTCTGAGCCTGGTACGGAAACTGTAGTTTAGCCTTTTGCAGCACTCCTTTTGACCTCCATTGTTGTTGACGATTTCGTTGTTGCTCAGCTCCTGGCACGTACGCACGCAAAGTGATGTCCCATCAAGATGATAAAGCATTTCCCCGCTGAAGGTGCCACGTTCTGAAGAGGAAGACTCCTTGTCGTCCATTGAAGGTTGCGGATGTTGTTTGAGAGTTGCTTTTGTTGTTGTGTTTAATGTTGGTAATTTTACCTTTGCTTTTATACTAACAATTCTCCGTGAGTTTAACCTTGTTTTTTATTATGTGATGAGAGAAATTTGTTCTTTTTATGTTCCTATAAAAGCAAACTTTAAATCCCACCCTTTACCAATCTTCAATTTTCTTCACAGATCTACACGCTTCTCAACAAGTCCAAATGGGTACTACGGTTACAACGGCCATCAAGGTGGAGGAACACAGCTTCAGCGCGGAACATCTGTCGGATGACATTGACGACACGCAGCGGGACATCACCGTCGAGAAGGACGAGCCAGCAGAAAACGAACCAGTGGAGGGCGTCGACTCGTGCCGTGAACTTCATGAAACTGCAAGGGAGACCATCAGTAACGAGGATAATGTGCTGCTGGGAGATGAAGAAGACGAAGATCTTCCAGCCGATGAGACGCAGAGGGAGGAGGAAGAAAAGGAAGTTGAAACGGCTGTGACGGACAGTGACGGAGAAGAGGAAGAGGTGGACATGAACGCTCTGATGGCTGCTGAGCTCAACAACTACCCAAACATGGACCGTTGCACCAGTGACTGTGACACGGCAACTGTGTATTCCGAAGGCGAGGAAGAGCAGCCGCGCATGTACATTGTTGGAGAGACTAAACCAAGTGAGTTTTTGACATTTCTGATTTTAATTTTCCACAAAAAAATTCTTTTTTTTTACCCAGAATATAAGCTCTACCGAGCAGCTCGTCGTGCCTCATTCTACGTGGACAAGGGAATGGAGAATCCGCACGCCTACTACACCGACTACTCCAACGGCTCTGTGGCGGCGCAAATTGCAAATGGGATGATGGCAAACGACTAGAGAAAAGTGAAACCTAAATGTAGAAAAGGGGATAATTGCTCTGTGATATATAGATATATATTGTTTGTAAATGTATTGTGATCTTTTTGTTGTATAGCTATTGTATATATTGTAAATTGTTCTTAAGTAAATTGTAAAGATAATTGTTCGGTATTTTTAATAGATTGTCCAAAATTAGTGACCAAAATAGGTTGATATTGAAACAATTCGACTCAAATTTTATCCTTATTCATTCCATGGCCTTTAAAAAAACTTCCCTCATTAAAAAACCACTAGGTAAAAAGAAAAACTTTCCCAATAGTTTGCATTCTTAGCTGAGTCAAATTTGACGTTCCTTACAAGTGCACTTTCTTGCATTTATTTGCTTTTTGTGTTCGGCCCGGTATTTTACTAGGAGAGGTTTTTAGTTGTGGTCTCATCTTAAGCACAATTTCAAGAAAGCATTCTGATAAAATAAATTCCATTTTATAAAAACTAAACAATTAAAAGGTCGTTGTCGAATACTTTTAAAAGCATTATTCTTCATACTGGTAAGACTTTGACTCCCCAACACAACAAAAAACATGTTTTTCCAATGTAATTAAATGCGCTGAGTTCAAATATCACTATGAAAGTGCTCAAAACGGTCTACTTTGCCATTTTTTCCCGGATTTTCAGACCCCTGAAAATCGAAAACCATAGGGGGGACCAAGCTGATTTTTGGGGTCAAAAATTCGAATATGCAAATAATAGCTCATTCGAAAGAGCTCGTCGAGCTGAGTCGAATGACACCAAAATCAGCTAGATTGGATGATTTTTGACAAAGTTATGACCAACAGAATCTTCGCTGGAAAAACTGTTTTTGTGCTGCTACGGAGGGTAGGCCGGGCATGGTCTTCGCTACACGATGGCCGTGCTTCGCTGCGGTCGTGCTCGCTGCGCTCGCGGCGACCGTAGCGAAGCTGCGGCCGTCGTTCCGCTCGACATGCCCGGCTTCCTCCGCAGCGGCAAAAACTTTTTTCCGCGAAAACCTTGTGGAAGGGGTAAAAACAAACGGTCATAACTTTGTCAGATCAAGTCGGATTTCGTTGATTTTGGTGTCATTCGACTCAGCTCGACGAGCCCTTTCGAATGAGCTATTATTTGTATATTCGAATTTTCGACCCCAAAAATCAGCTTGGTCCCCCCTATGGTTTTCGATTTTCAGGGGTCTGAAAATCCGGGAAAAATGGCAAAGTAGACCGTTTTGAGCATTTTTATAATGATATTTGAACTCAGCGCATTTAATTACATTGGAAAAACATATTTTTTGTTGTGTTGGGGAGTCAAAGTCTAGCCCTCATACTTACAATTACAAACCTTAAAACACTAGAGTTCGAGACTTTTAAAAGCCTGGGCCTCTTCCTAAGTTCCAGGTTTGATTTATTGACCTGGGCCGGACCTGGGCCTGTAGTCCAGGAAAAACCCAGTAAGGTCAAAACATGCCTGGGCTTAGACTTTGGGTGCAGGAAAACCCCAGGTTTTGGTCCAATCCCAGCTCGATCTCTATAAAACATTACAAATTCTCAAATTAATTTACACTAAATAAATATTTATCTTATAATTTAAATAATTTAAATTTCAAAAAATATATTTCTGGCAATAATTAAAAACATTAAAAAATCTCTCAATAAAAAATTTTTTTCTTCAATATATTTCTATTTTGGAGCACAACAAACACATTGAGACAAAGAAGTAGACGCATAACTTGTTTCTTCATAATCCCCACCAATTCCTGCTCCATTTGCTGAAGGATATGCTGGGTCAAATTTAAAGATGGCAGAGATTATGTCGTCCTTTCAATGAACAAAAAAATATTTTTTTTAAGTTTAGAAAAATACGGGGCTAGTATTAGCACTTCTCGCAACAATTCTACAACAGATTTGACAAGCCTTCTGACTGTTTGCAGCAGTAAAACGGCAAAATTGGCGTGTATGATAACGCGGTTGGGGAGTAGGAGAATAACTTTGATCATATTCTTTAAATTAAAAAATTAAAAAAATAATTTTAAAATAGGTTAAGGGGCAGTTTTTGAAACTCAAAAAAATTTTCAAGATTTTTTGTCCTTCCTAAAAATTTCTAAAAAAATCTTCCTCCTTAAAAATCCTTCCTAAAAATTAATCAGTCAATGAATAGGGGAATTTAGTGATTTTATCAATTAAAAAAATTTCCACCTTTCCCTTCCTCACTTTTTCCATAATTGCTATTGTATTCATTGCCATAGCTAGTAGCTAAAGCAAGGGAGAACGAACCGTGGACTGAGCAGTAATGAGCTAATAAATTTAAATAAATGAAGAAATAAGAGTTAAAAAAGGTTAAATTTACAATCATAAGAATGTCGTTTATTTTGATCAAAAGCCCAAGGGGAAGTACCGGAATAGTGTTGTTGTTGATTATATTCGTCATAATTATTATATTCTTCTGATTCTTTCTCATAATTCTGATATTTTTTATTTAATTTTTAAATTAATTTTTATTAAAATTCCCCTTACATAATTCCCTTCAGGAGCGTAAGGCTTTTTCTCTTCTGCTGGATAATATTCTTTTTCATAACCATTTTGGTACTGCTCATAATTTCTAGGGAAAATTTTTAAATTAAAAATTTTTCTTCTGAAAAGATTTAAAAAATACCCTTCATTATTATATTCATTATGACTGGGGTATTCCTTATTTTGATAACCTTCTTTATAATCTCCCCCATATTCTCTTTCTCCACTTCCATAATATTCTCGATTATTATATTTTGGAGGATAAGCCCTTTCATAAGGATGTCGTTCATAAGAAGATTGATAATTAGTTGGCTCTTCATAATTAATACGGTGAAGAATTTTCTTTCGTTGTTGGGTGTTTTTTGGTTGATAATGTTGTTGTTGTTGTTGCGGACTTTTCTAAAAACAAGTTTAGAAACTTTTAGAATGTTTGGATGATTAATTAAAAACAAAAACAAATGTTTTTAGCAAAATGTTTTTTCATAAACATTTTGTTTTATAAAAGCAAAACATTGTTTTTGGAAATGTTTGAGAGATTAATAAAAAAGAAAAACAAATGTTTTTGCCAAACAATGTTTTAAACAAAATGTTTTTCATAAACATTTTGTTTTATAAAAACAAAACATTGTTTTTCTAAACAAAACAAACAAAACATTATTTTAAATGTTTTTAAAACAAACTTTATAAATTGGTGTTGTTTTCGCTGTTGTTTTAATCGTTGTTGTTGTTGTGGCTTTTGTTGTTGTTGTAGTCGTTAATGTTTTTGCTGTTGTAGGTAATGTTGTTGTCGAAGCAGTTGTTTTGGAAGGAATAGGGGTTGTTGTATTTGTTTGTTCATTTAAAGTAGTGTTTGTTGTATGTTGTTGTGGAGGAGGCGAAACAGCCAAAACATGGGAGATTGAAACAAATAAAAGAATAAATGTTTTGAAGTAAAGTTTAGAAAAAATAAATGTTGGAAACATTTTGGGTAATTTAATAAAAATAAATTTGAAACTAAATTGGTAATAAATTTAAAAAAAAAATATTTTTTTTGAATTTTTGAAAAATAAATATACATTTAAATTAAAAAAAAATTAAAATTAATTAAAAAATAAAATAAAATTTTGATAATTATTGTTGATTTAAATATATTTTAAAAAATATTTATTATTCTCACAAAAATAATAAAAAAAAATTTTCCAATTAAAATGAATATTGTGAACTTTTCCAATAAATATATGAGAAAATTTAAAAATTAAGGAAATCTCTTACTATTATCAATTAATTAAAATCTGTCACTTTATTGTTACAGCTTTATTTCTTTTAATTATTTATCTCTGGGAAAAAGGAAATAAAAAAATTAATTTTTAATTTTTACACAAAAACTGTCCTCCTTCTCTATCCATTTTTCTCAACATTTTTCTTTGGACAATGAACTTGGGAAAGCTAAAAAAGTGTTAAGTGGAAAGGCGGATCTTTAAAGCTAAAAAATTTTCTCTTGATCGACCTTTGTCCGAAATGAAAATTTTTTAAAAATAATTATTTTTAAATTTATTTAAATTAAAAAATGGATGTGTTTTAAGGTAATTTTACGGCGTAAACCCAAAAAAGTTAGTGACAATTTTTGAAAATATTGTATTTTGATTGTTTTATATTTTAGGCAATTATTTTAAAAAATTAATTTATTAAGTGATGGCCAAATATTTACAAGAATTAATTAAAATACTAGTCATCTCATAAAATAAATTTAAAATAATTTTTTGAGAAATTAGAATATTTTTTCATTTATTTGGACATAATTCTGATAAATTCAGACCTTTTTTTGAAAATTAAAAAAATTCTAAAAAAATTTTTTTGACCTTTCAACGTCCTTTTTTGCAATTTTCATTTTTAATTAACCTTTCCCTCTTAATTAAAAGATGATTGGCTTGAAAGTGTAAAATTAGCAATAAATATTTTTTCTTTAATTGTTTAATCATTCTCTTTCATTAAAACATTTTACAAAAAATATTTTTCTTTCAATTTTAAATTACTCAGCAAATCCTTGTAAATTTATTTTTATTTTTTATTTTTCTCATTAAAAACAATTTTTTATTGTAACAAACATTATGAGAAAGCGTTAAAAAATATAATTCATCTTTTAGAGATTAATCATTGAGAAAAATTAAAAAAATAAAGAAAATCTAAAAAATATTTAAATAGGCTTGAAAATCATCTTTATTCAAAAAATATTTTCTTCCATTAATTTTTCTTAATTTTATTTTTATTTTTTAAATATTTTAAAAAATTTTATTTTTATTTTTTAAATATTTAAAAAAATTTATTTTATTTTCCTTTAAATTAAAATTTAAATAAATAACAAAATTAATTTATTTTAAAAAATTTTTCTCTAAATTTTTTAAGAAAATTTTTTAGAAAATAAAAAATTTTAATTTGTTTTTAGATTTTAATTTATTAATTTATTTTTTCTCTAAATTTTTTTTTCTAGAAAAAATAATAATTTAATAATGAATAACCAAATTATTATTTTTTTCTTCCTCTCATTTTCTTCATTTATTTTGGCAAATTATGAACAAGTAAAAAATTTGTTTTATTTTAAAATATTTTTTAAAAAATTTTAAATTAAAAAAAATTATTTTTAAAATTTAATTAAATTTTAAGTATGACGATAGCTACTCTAATAATTATCAAGTGAAATATGGACAAGGAAGGCGAATTATTGATGGTAATTTAAGGAAAAAATTATTTTTAAAATTTTTTTAAAGATTATATTTGCGATTTGGATGCCTCAGTACTTGTCTAAATTTAAAAAATAATTTTATAAAATATAAAAAATCTTAAATATTTAAGAGTAACAAGCGACAATGGCTACAAGAAAGCAGGATATGGTAAGAGAAATAATGAAAAATAATAAATTAATCAGAATTTAAGTCAGAATTAAAAAACCAGAATTTTAGAATTAAGAATATTTAAAAATAAATCAGAACAAAAACCAGAATTTTCAAAATCAGAATTTTTAAAAATCAAATTTTTTTAAAAATCAGAATTTCTTAAAGCAGAATTTTCTGGAAGTCAGAATTTAAAATCAGAATTTTTGAGAATCAGAATTTTAAATTCTGAATTTTTTAAAACCAGAATTTTTCAAATCAGAAATTTTAAAAATAAATTTTCTAAGGCAGATAATTCTGATTTTTTCTATTAATTAATTTTCAGAAGCAAAACAACCTTCTTACCCTGCAGGCTATGAAAAAGCAAAGAGAGCAAAACGATCAGAATATGCTGATCAAGAATACAAAAAATATGGAGAATATGGACACTCTTCTTATAATAAATATAAAGTAGCCAAAGCACACAGGTAAATTTTGGAGGAATTTTTTAAAATCAAAAATAAAATTAAAATAAAGGCTTCGTTGTTCTATAATTGCTTCGGGAAGTGATGAAGATTGCAGAAAATGTTGCCATATGGCTGGTTAGAGTTTTTAGAAAATTTTTTTTCAAAAATCTTTTCAGCACGCAAGGAACGCAGCATTGCAAAGGACACAATTTTCGGTTTTGTTGTTGACTATGATGAAGTAAATCCATCACAATACAATCCACCGGCTGCTGGCTATTTACACAAACCACCAGTAATTTTTTTGAAAATTTTTCTTTAATTTTTCAAAATTCTCTCAGTACCGTTCAAAAAGAGATGCATCCTCAGATTATACTACCCCAGCTCCAGAATACAAAAAAGAAGAGGAATATAAACAACCAGCTAGTGATTATGCTTCTCCTGGATATTCTCCTGCTACAAACTACCAAAATTATTATAATTATGAGAAAACTCCGAATGTAAGGGAAAAATTTATTTTTTGAAATTTTAAACAAATCTTTTCTAAAAAATATTTTTTTAGAATCCTCGTTGTGTTTGTTGCTCCCCAAGAGTTTACAGTGTTCATCGAGATTATGGAAAGAAAAAATCTTATGGATATGGCAGTGGAGAGGCAAAGAAAAAATATGGAGGAAATGAATACAAAAAAGGTGGAGAATATGGAAATGAGGAATATGGAGGGGCAAAACAAGGATATGAAGCACCGAAGTATGAAGCTCCGAAATATGAGGCACCGAAATATGAAGCACCAAAATATGGTGGTTATGAGGCACCTAAAGGATATGAAGCACCTAAAGGCGGGTACGAAGCACCACAATATGGAGGCTATGAAGGACCGCATTACGGCTCACCGCAAGCAGAATATGGGGCACAAGGAGGGTATGAAGGTGAGGGAAGTTAAAGAATAATTAAAATAAAATTAGAATTAATAATCAGAATTTAACCAGAAATGAAATCTAATTAAACTTTCTTTTTTAATTTTAGGAGGTTATGAACAGAAAAGTTACGGACCAGAAAAATACAACAACAAATACGAAGAACCAGCAAAACCATATGAACAACCACCCTCAAATTATGAACAACCACAAAGCTATCAACAATATGGAGAAAAACAAGAATATTATCAAGAAAAACCAAAACATCGCTATGGGGACAAATATGGCAGCAGTTATCAATATGGACGAGGATATAATGAAAATAAAGAATATAATAAAAAATTGTGAAAGATTTTTTGAAAAATAATTTTTTTGAAATGAAACATTTTTTAATAATAATTTGTAAAATTTAAAATAGTTCTTTAAATAAAATTTTAAATATTTTAAGAACACTTTATTTTCCTAAAACAATTTTCGAAAAAATTTAAATTGAGTAGAAATGCCAAAAATTAATTTTCGAAAAAATATTTCTAAACTCTCCAAAAAACAAAAAAAAATTCAGATAAAACTTTATATTTTAGTCAAAATCTAATTAAATATTAATATAGAGAAGAATGGCTTTCATTTTCTGAATAAATTCAATTCGAAATAAAAATTGAATAATTATAAATTTGCATTTAAATATGTGTGGAATAAATGTAGAAAACAAATTCTTTAAAATAATACATATTATTGTAGAGCAATTTTTAAGAAGAAATGCCAAATTTTTTATTTAAAGTAACGAGAAAAAAATAATCTTTTATAATTTAGTCAATAGTCGGACCTAAGTTTTAAATAAAATTAGGCGTATCTCTTAAACAATTCCCCATTAGAGTTGACGCTTTCGGACATCTGTAATGAAAAAAGTTGGGACATCCTAAAGTTTCGGTTTGGATATCAGTTCCGAATCCGAATATTCGAAGAATTTTTCAGAATCCCCCAGTCTTACTTCCCAACCCGCTGGAGTTAAATTAAAAAAAATATTTCAGATTTAATTAGATAAATTTAGGGGTGTATTAGATAAATTAGGGGTGTGAGTTTCGACTATAAATCTAAAATAATTTAGAAAAATTTAAATAAAAAATATTTGGCATTTCTTAAAACAAAACAAAAAAATGAAAGGAAAAATGCAAAACATAAAAAAATATATTTTTTATGTAAATATATATCAAGCATGCATTCCAATATTAAATAACATATTATTATTATTCTTATTCGCTAATCTATTGTTGCTACTACTTGCCACAGCCTTAATTCTTCCACCTTTTCCACTACTTGAGGAGGTTAATTTTGAAGATGAGGAAGAGGATTGTGGTTGATGTTGAGGCTGTTGATGATGATGAATGTTGCCGACATTTTTTGGTGGTTCTACCAAAATCTTTTTTTCTGTATGGATGGTAGTTGAAGTCCCAAAATTAGAAAAAGCCTGTTTTGGCCAAGCAATTCGTGTCTCAGATCGTTTATAAGCAAAAAGATGGCCTTTACCAGATTGAATCATATTATCCCGTACCAAATGAGGGAATTCATCTGGGCTGAGGACTGTTTCATAACCGTCAAAGAGAACATATCTAAATTTAGGATATTATATAAAGATGTTTTAATATATCCATGACAGGGATACTAGCAAGATAAACACATTCCCGATTTTCTAAAATCGGGTAGACAGGATTCCTGATTAATATCCCCGAGCTAATTTAAATGAGGAATGGTGGGACATGGAATTAACAAAAATGAAAGGATATTAGAATGAAATGGGAAAGTGAGAGGGAATATTCAAAAAAATTATTTAAATAATTAGTAGTATTTTCCCAAAACACAAATTTAAAAAAACAACTTCTTAATTATTTGAAATAATTATTTAACAAAAAAATGAATAAAATTCTTACAATCCATAATCTTCCGGATTGCTAACCTTAAAATAGAGAATTTTTATAACATTTTAAAAAAATTTTACAGAAAATTGATGAGCAATAACTCGACATAATTTAGAAGCATTCATTTTAGGCAAAACAGGAAATGTATGATATTCTATTGAGCCTTCCTGTTCATTTGGAATTGCCACACGAAGCAAAAGATCAGAATTATTACTAACAAAATCATCAACGTCCTGAAGTGTCTGAAAAACAAAATTAATAGAAAATAATAATTTTTCAAACCGATTGGGAACCAAGAAAGTCAGCAATATTTGGCAAAGGATGACGACCAGGCATTAAAGAAATATTTTTTAAACGCTTGACAATTTCTTAAAAAATTTAAAAAAAATATTTAAATAAAGGTAAGTGTTTGTGAATTTACTTTCGTTAAAAATTCAAAAGAAAAGAGAAGGGCCCAATAAATAAAAATTATTTAGAACGTCTCGAATAATTAGCAAGGTCTAAAAATTTTTATAGATTGGGGTACGACTGTGTTAGCAAATAAAAATAAAAATTAAATCCAAAAATTAAAAAAAAACCTGGATGTTTAATAACATGAACAGCGGAAAAAAGAATTGAAAGAAAATAAGAAGCATCACCAGTTGATAAAACTTGTTGAGGTAATAATTCCCACATATACCATGCTTCAATTTCGCAATTAATAGTTGAACTACGCGCTAATAAATAAACAAGCCAACGAATGAGTTCTAAAAAAAGAAGAAAAATTTAAACTTTAAAAATCTAAATCTCTCGAAAACTGGGGAATGCGTTGATCTAAAGATATTAAAGATAGACAGTGGAAAAGTAAGATTCATGCCTAGTATAAAGTCAGGAAAAATATGGAGATGGAAGAGGAGGTATTAAGAAAGAAGAGACGAAGTGTTAACAGTAAAGAATTTTGTTTACGGGGCAATTTTGTTTAAAAAAAAGTGGGGAACGCTTTAAAAAATCCTCAACAGGGAAAGTCAGAAATTTGAGTTGATGCCCATATTAATATTTGAAACAAAATATTTATACATTTATTCCAACTTCAAAAATTAAAAAATACAATACCATCAGCAGGCGGATGTTTAAGCGCTGCAGCCATAGCCCCAGAACTACTACTTCCAGAATTTGTCCTTAAACGTCCACATCCAGCCCCAATACTATTTGATGTTTGAGCAATAGGAGAAAGAAAAACAGAGCTATTACTAGGTTGTGTTGCCACAAAACTTTGTTGTTGTTGTTGTCTTTGTAATTCGCTAGAAGAAAGTAAAGGCAAATGAGGAACTGCCAAAGCTAGTGCTCGAAGAAGCAATTGAAGTTTTTTTAATGGTGAATAATGATTTTGCATTTTTCGTAATTGTTTATTTATTGATTCCATTCTGATCTTAAAAATACAAAAAAAAAATTTTTTTTAATTTAAAATTTAAAAAACGTTATCAGGCAAAACTGTGTCTTCAGAAAATCCCAATTCTTCAGCATTCATTGCACGAACTAAAGACAAATTTTCTGTAAGCTTTCCTAATTCGCCGTTACGAGTGTTCTCCATAATCATCAAACGGTAAAGTTGAGCTTTTATTCTGACTGAAAAATAAATATTTAAATATCTGAGAGACAAATGAATGGAAAGAGGCATAGGGAATCCTAATTCAAAAATTTTCTCAAATTCGGATGCCACTTTAATTTTACTGTGGTAAGCAAACGGCCGGTAAACAAAAAATCTCCATTTCTACTTTTAATAATAGTAGGCAGGCCCGTAGCTAGGAAAAAATTTTCGGGGGCGAGGGAGGGCAATTTCGGCGCCGAATTTCCAGATTGCCCCCTCCTGGCTACTGGCCTGATAGAGTTCTTTATTACCGTTCAAAAAGAGGGAAATAATTTAAAAACTTGCCTAGCAATATTTTATTTAAAACAGATTCCAAAATTGCATCAATATTGAGAAACTCATCGGCATGTAGTCGGTCACTTTCTCTTTCAATAATTAAATGTAAATCAGCCTCCCCATTTTTAACCAAATAATTCTTGATTCTACAAAAAATTAATTTAAAAATCCCCTTCACAAAAAAACCAACCCATTAAGAAATTGCCGTACTCGTCTAACAACTACATAAGGATCCTGTTCTCGACTTAAAAGTGTGCATTCAACAAAACGTTGAAGTGTTGCACCAAAAACTGTTGAATCATCGGTGGATAAACTTAAAAATAAAAAATTAATTTTTAAAATAAATTTTTAATTTTGACAAATTTTCAATTGAAGGAATAAAATAAAAAGCAAAAGGAAATGTTTGTTTGAGAAATTATTAATTTAAAAAGTTGATCATCGACTTTTAATTTTATTTGGCGAATCTTTGACCAGATTCTTACTTTAGTTAAAGAACAATCAAAGAAGATAAAAAATGCTTAGATGATAAATCTGGGAAAATTTTGACTTATAGCGGATTTTTAATGCGTGGGCTGATATTGACGAATGAGATTTTTACTTCTCGCTTCTCTTTTTCAATTTTCAGGAGTCTGTAACTCGGTCCCTGATTGTCGGACTGACACCATTCACCCCTCATTTGACTCACAGCTCGCCGAGCATAGTCGAATGACACCTCATACGTCAATATCCGTCCACGCATTAAAAATCCGTTATAAGTCAAGAGTACCGAATCTGGACCCAAGAAACATCAGTCTAAATTTCAAATAAAGGCCCTACTCCTAATTTGGCCATCCTAACCCCAACCATAATTTTAATTATTAAAATTTCTTACGTCTCAACATATTGTTGAATAACCAAAGCAGGATCCTTCTCGCCTTGACTCTCCTGTGAAGCATTACGTAAACGTGAAGGAGACAAAACAGGCGTAATTGATGGACAAATAGAGCCCGTCCGACTATGTTGACTGCCTAATTCGTCCATTGAAGTTGAATAGGCAGCAACAGAAGGAAAAGCAGATTGGTGAATATTTTGAGTTTGATGTTCCCCAATAGACCTTTCCATCATTGCACGTAATCGACGTTCACTTCTTCTATGCCCTACACTACTTTCTCCATTAAATTCTTCCATTGAATCAAATTTATCTGAAAAAAAAAGTGAAAATAAGATAACGATCAGTAAACGGAAATCTAACAAAAAAAATAAAATTTAATCATTGGTCGATAATTTAAAACAAAATTTGGGCAGGGGATCATTGAGTCCCAGTCCCTGAGCCATATTTTGGGCCACAACTTTTTGAGTTTTCAACTAATTCGAATAAATCTTCTATCATTCTAAAGCCCTGGATATGAGGATTATTTTCGCCAACTAGATTGATTTGACCAGAACATCCTACAAAAAGTTATATTTAGTTAAGCGCGCGAAATGGTGATATTTGATTTAAATTAGGCTGTAACTTTTTGTATGTTGATCTGGTCAGATCAATCCTGTTAGATAAAATAATTCTTACATTAAGAGCTTTCGATTATTATATAAATTAACTAAATTGATTAAGAATTGGAAAAGTTATGGTCCAAAATAGGTCACCGGGACCCAACCGGCGAGACTCAATGATTCTGTTCTGAAAAATTTTTGAAAAAATAAAAAAATGGCAATTTGTCCAAAAACAACATAATGCCAAATCTTTAACGCGAAAAATATTAAATTTAAAAATTAAATTTCATTAGTCTCTAAATTTTTTCTAACCATCTTTTTGTGGAATATTTTGTTGATTTTCAGTTTGTATTGAAGAAGATGAAGGAATATCCAAAAGAGAAGTACTTGCTTCTCGACTGTTTCTTGCTGTCCACCTAACTCTTTGAGAGGGCATATTGCAACGTGAAGAATTTGCGGCTTTTGCTGCTTGTTCAATTAATATTAAAGTATCTAATGAAGAATTTTGGGGTAATAATAATTGGTGTTGTTGTTGATTAGTAGGGGATATCTTCAAATAAATAAAGTTTATTGTCAGTTTATCAGAGAAGAAACTCTCAAAGTAAAAGAGGGATGTTCTTCTCTATATCAGAGCATTCGTCTTTATATTAAAAATTAAGTTTCCAAACGACGGAATATACTCGACGGGAAATCGGTATTTTCAAAAATCCTAGAACTGGATTTAGGTTAGGACCAGGAAAAATCCAGACTGGATCCATCCCCAGACCGATCTCTATTTTCTAGTACTCAAACCCTCTCTGGAATGATAACGTGTACAAATTTTAATGAAGTGAGAATCCCTCGTTTGAGAAATTTTATTTCGCGAGAAAGAGGTTACACCATTCTTTCCATAATTTACAACTCCATATCCCCCCGAATTATATTTCCATAAAAATAGCTAATGTTTATCTACTTTAACTTTCAAAATTTTTTTCTAATTTTACTTGATTTTCCTCCTCCTCTTCCTCATTTTCTAACAATTCTTCTTCACATAACCATTCCATTGGTCTTTGCTTTTTTCTATTAGGTAAAGTTCCATTCCCCGCCAAAACAACAGCCATAGCAACAGCTTCTTCAGCAACATTAATATCATCATCTGTTGAATTATTTTCTTTTTCTTCCTCAAAATTCTCTTTTTTACTTTCATTTTCTTTCTTTTTATTTAAATATTCAACATCATTATTATCGTCCTCAGAAGAAGGAGAACTTCTCCTCCAAGTAGAGCAATCAGAAGAAATTGAGGAAGTATCACAACTGCTTCGTCTTCTTCTCGGTTTTTCACTCAAAAGTGGAATTTCTGTTTTTGCGTCCCCAAATTTGGCTATTTCCAATAAATTCTCCCAAGCATTTGAATCCCAAGGTTCGTTAAAATCTGTCCCAGCAACGCTAACTTCATCACCTCCATCTAAAAAATTATTTTAAAAATATTCTCTCAGAAATAATATCACAATATTATATTTCCTAAAAATGTTTTTGAGATATGGTCTGATAATCTGTATAGGAAGTATCGAAAAATAGGAAGTAAGGTTGTTAAGGTTGCTCTTAAAGGATCTTCTTAACGAGCCACCCCTTCCGCCTATGTATTGAAATTTCTTATAAAAGTCCAGTTAACATTAAACTTCTTTAGAGGCCGTTTAATTTGTGTACATATTTAATCTATAATTATCAAAATAATTTTAGTTCGGGTTTTAGAAAATTAAGAAGAATTGGGAAGGAAATTAGGTTACTGTTATTTAAAAAATTATTAAAAAATATTTACTTTTAAAAGAATATCTAAAATTATTTTCTCCACTAGTTGAAGGTTGTTGTTGTTCTATTTGTTGCTGTTGTTGCTTTCCTTTAAATAATTCATTTAAATGTGTATATTCAGAGCTATTATTTAATTTATTTTCTGCCTCATCTTCCTCTTTTTCTTCCTCTTCCATTTCTTTTTTATTTAAATTTGTTTTCAATTTTTTAGAAGAATTTAAAATAATTTTTGGTTGTGGATGTACCTGGAAATTAATTAAATTTAATTTTGTTTTCTAGAAGAGAAAGATATTTTGGAGAACAGACTGCATCATTTTTTACTTTCTTAAAATCAGTCAGTCTAGCAAAGTGCTACACTTTCCTTACTAATTTAAAATAAGGTAGTATCGGGGTAGGCTTGAGCTTGCCGGGGTAGCTCAAGCCTTTGTAGGTAGCTCTTTGCCGCTCTTGCCTTCGGAGTTCGGGTCGGGGTTTTTGACAAAAAATCGTCGGGGTTTGGAGAGTCGGGTTGCTACCCTAACGAGAACAAAAAAGAGTTTAAAATTATAATTTAAAAATAAATAAAAAAATTCCTAACAGTAGCAATCACTGCTTGGCTTTTTGCAGCCAATTTATTAAAAGACGAAGGATTATTTAAATTATTAAATCCTCCATTTTTTGTTTTTTGTTCAATAAAATAATTATTATTTAATAATAAATTATTTTGACGTTGTCTTAAAGGTGGAGGTAAACAAACTTTTGGTTGGAAATTGTTTTGTTGTTGTTTTCTAATGTCTGATGGTGGGGCTGCAAATGGAGTAATGAAAAAATTGTTGTTGGTAGCTTTGTTGTTGTTAAAATTACTGGAAAAAAATAAAACTTAGAAATTTTTATTAAATATTTAGGAAAAACTAATAAATTTTGAGAAAAAAATTCCGCCATTAAAGATCCTCTAACAGGTTCATAAATAAACTTATATAAATTTGGTAGTTTAATTTAAAATAGGCAGAGATATTCATTAAACTACCGTATTTACTCGATTAATTCCCCTCTCTCGAATAATTCCCCCTGCTACGGATGGGTTGAAAAAATAATTCTCCAGGGAATTAATCGAGTAAATACGGTAACAGATAAAATAATGAATTTTTAAATATATTTTAAAGATATCCAAAAATATTTTAAGAAAACTTTACTAACAAAAAATTTAAAAAAAAAGTTGAATTAAATACACTGCGGTGCATATGTTTATGCACACTAGTTTTTTGTTCATAATTTTATGCAATCTTAGCAACAAAATACGTTCTATATAGCAATCGAAAGCTCTATTTGTATCTCAGTTGACATGTTTCTGCATTTTCCATGAAAATGAAAATTGGCCGAGATAATCCGGATCTACCGGATATACCAAATCCCATATCCTCAGAAAAATTTTTCGGAAAAAATTTAACAAACCCATTTGATAAAGCATATTTTTGTGAGTATTTACCACAAAACCGCTTAGAAATATCTTTTTCCGGAACGGAGATATGATTTTTTGAAAATCGAAAAAAACGCGATTTTTTACGAAAAATGGCAAAAATATGGTATTTTTTCGATTTTCAAAAATTCATAACTCGCTCGAATCTCGACCGATTTGGATGATTTTTTTGTATTATATGTAGAATCTAGAGGAGAATCACATATATATTTTACAGACCTCAAAAAAATTTCTTCGAAAAGTTGAAAATGTAGTACCTGTTAGACCGGTCGAAAAGTTTTCGAAAATATCAGAATTTCGAAAAATGCAGAAACATGTCAACTGAGATACAGATAAAGCTTTCGATTGCCATATAGAACATATTTTTTGAATAAGTGTGCATAAACTTATGAACAAAAAACTAGTGTGCATAAACATATGCACCGCAGTGTATGTAGACAATGCTTATCAAAATAAATAAAATGTGAATGATTCAAAGTTAGAAAAAATAAGTAAATATTTTTTAAACACATCTGTTTTTATTAAAAGTTTATTTAAATAGAAAGGCTTTTATTTTTGTGAAATAAAAAAAATTTTTAATCAAATAATTCACAATTTATATGTTTATTTATTTTTTAAAAAGAGAATTTTAAGTTGAATTACAAAAGAGTTTTTTTGGTAGAAATAAAGTTGTGAATAATACTTGAAAATATATATGTATGTATGTAGAAGTATTTACCATAAATAGAAAAAAGAAATTTTTAGAAAAAATTACCTAAACTGAATTTAAAAAAAGGCGGAATTAAAGGCGCGAATTAAAAGAAATTAATTAGAATTTTAATTTAATTTAAATTTAGATTTACAGTCGGTCCTCATTATTTCTAGAGACACTCAAAATTCGACAAAACTTCAATTTGAGATTGGTTTTTTAATTTGGCTACTAGGCAAAGGTAAAAAATGGTATCCCTTAGTACCCCTAATTATAATATATAATTTCAACTTCAAGGATGTGTCCAAAAATGAGGTTCGGGTGTATCAATATTTATCGTTACTGGTATATTTTTTCTGTTTTTCGCAATTTTTTTATTGGATAGGTAGAGCTTGCGAGGATAGAAGAGTGACAGTCCTTTGCTTTTTTATAAAAACAAACAAAAAAAATTTTTAGGTTGTTTGAGGTGTTTGAATGTTTCGGCGTCGAATTATGAAAAACACAAAAATGAGAAATTGGGATTACGAAATTTTTCATAAATATTTTAAATAATGTTGATAAAATTATTTCTAAATTTTAAAATTTTTTATAAAGGAATTTGGAGGTTAAGGACAAAAAGTAATAAATAAAATTGATACTAAAAAATTAAATTCTTTGGCCCATAACTCCCCAAATATTTAATTAAAAAATTTGAAATTTTTGAAGAAGGTATTACCTAAATAAACAATGACTATACAAAATTTCATGTTTCTGGGTAATTCTTAGACAATTTTATGAGCATCAGCGCCAAAACTCCCGCGCCGAAAAGTTCAAATCTCTCACTTCACTTCTTCCATGAAATTCACTGACCACAAATGCTTAAAAATCACAAAAAAAAAACAATTTTTGTGTGTAAAGCAAGAGAAAAGCTTGTTTTTATTTTTTCTAGTAACAATCGATCATTAAAAATATTCAACACATTTTTTTCAATTTAAAAAAGACAAAAAAAAATATTTAAAAAATTTATTAAAGAAAATGTGAACATTAACAGATTGAAATTTAGAAACTTAAAAGAAAATTTCAGACAAAAATTAATAAATTTTATTTTTGTGAAGAATTTTTACTTTAAAGTTGACTTAAAAGGAGTTTCTAGGGACAGGCCAACGAGGTAAAAAATATTTGGAAGAGGATGCCGAGTCATATTCAACTGAAACTACTAGACGTTTATCCAAATTGTATCGAGTAATTTTATATAGAAGGTAGAGGAACAGATATTAACAGATACGAGGCCTCTAAATTGTTAATTAATCCTCTACCTCTATACATATAAAATTACTCGATACAATTCTATTTTTTATTAGAGATCTGAATGAAACGAGATCTCAATTAAAAATCACGGTTATCGAGATTGTGATTTTCAAATTATTTACTAAAGTTATTTGATGGAAACTAAAAAATTTTTTTAAATTTATTTAAGTTGGTCAATTTCCTTTGTGTGTAAATAAACTGTCAAATAACAAAATTTAATAAATTGGTCATGTTTTTAATTGTTGCAATTTAATAAAATATAAAAAAACACAAAAAAGCTTTCCGAAAATTTTTTTTTGTAAAAAGGCTGGTTGGTTGGTAAGAAGTGAGCGAAAAAAAAGGTGAGAGAATTGAGGTACTTAAATAAATATATACCTCCTTCCCCCCTTCCCTCCCTCCAAAAAAGTGTGTGTAAATATTTAATGATTGTAAAAAAAAAGTAAAGAAAAAAATATTGAGAATTAATAGATCGATTAAATAAATAAATGAATTTTTTTTCTTAAAATTTTAAATGACTAAATTAAAACAGTTAGATCAATTTTAATTTAAAAAAAAAGAAATTAGGAAAAATTAAATTAAAAGAAACACTAAAAGAATTCTAACGGGGATTTACAAAATGATAGGATATTCTTAAAACGAAAAATTAAAAATTACCCTCAAGAATTTACAATAATAACCTAATAATAGTACTAATAATTTAATTATCTTCTCTCGCATGGATTGTGTTTATTTAAACCTTAAAGTGTCTCTGATTTTCAGATACGGTCCTCAAAAATATTGAAAACATTGAAAAAAGGGTTATTTAAAAATGTGAATTTTTTCAAAAAAATATAGAAAATTAGCTAAATTCTTTACAAAAAATTAATTTTTTATATCAAAAAATACATAATTATATTTTTGAGACTATTTTTTTGTAAATCTTTTCCTCTCAAAAAAATTCTTATTCATTTCCCCTCTTAAATTTTTATGATCCTCCTCCCTCCCTCCCTAAAACATCTCCGAAAAAGGGCAAAAAGCGATCATTATTTATAAAGTGTGAAGGAGGGAAAAAATAAGGCGGAAAAAATTGTTTAGAAAAAATGATTAAGTAGACATACTAAAAGTAAAAAAATATAATTTTGTTTTACTAAAGAATTATAAAATAAATAAATTTTTTGATAAAAAATAAAGTACAAAATTGTAAAAATTTTTATTTTTTTTTGTTAAAAATATTTTTAAGAAAAAAAATTATTTTTTTAAAAAGAATTTGAGCTGTGAGGGAAACGTGGAGTTTTAAAATAATTTTCATCACTCCCCGTGTCTTAGACTTTGATGAATCATTTCTACTAGAAAACAGAAAGTTTGGAGATTATGGGGATAGAAGAGGAGATGCTTTGCCTCAAGTTTGGAATAAAGTTTTGGACTTAGATTTAACAAAAGGGTGTGTTTGGATGAAATTATACATATTAGAGATAGGAATGTATTGTTCCTTAGGGGTGGGTTCCTTACTGGAGGACCGCAACCGGAACCAAAAAATCCCGGAATTTCCGGCCTAACGGAGATTCCGGCGAAGCTCTACTTTACTACTATGCATGAATGAATTTCTTCATTCATGTACTGTACTTCATAATACCTACTGTACTTCAAAATTCCAAAACTTATTCTTTAGTTAAAAATACAAAAAAATAAAATCACTAATTACCTATTAGAACCATTAAAAATAAAAGAATGTTTAGCACCAGATAAATTATTAATTGTTGTTGTTGTTGTTCTAGGTTGAGGCAAAACTCTAGCAAGTTGTGGAAAAGATTGTGGGGGAAGGGAAGGATTTTGTGGTGATTTTTGTTGTTGTTGTTTACGCATTTTATTTAAAGCTAAAGCTATTCGATTAGTTGTTGAACCCGAATTTGTTGGAACGCCTAAATCTGTGTTTGTACGGCGAAATGCTGCTTGGCGGGCATTTAGAATTTCAGTGCTTACTAGAAAATTGTTAAAAGAATTTTTTAAAATGATTAAGGTTTAATTTTTTCGAGTTCTGAGAGACAGAAAATTAATTCAATAATAATTCGGTTTAGTTATCTTTCAGTAAAATGCTCTTGAAGTTTATAGACTGTTAAATAAAAGGCAAATCAGCAAAATAAACAGATGGACCTCACCATAAGAGATCACACCTTTGGGGCTGAAAAACGTATCTTAAAATAAGGTACCTTAAAATATAGCTTTTCTATAGAAACGTATCTTAAACTGAAGAATATTCAGTTCTGTGGACACCTTACAGTAAGGTATTCGGTGAGTAGTAAAATGTTCTGGCTTTTTTCCTAATTTAATTTAATCAAATTTCTCCTTCCCTCTACCTTGGTTACGTCCTTGCCAATCATCTTTTGAGGAAGGTGAAGAAATCCCTGAACTACTTGTTCTTCGAAAATTGCCCTTTAAACGGGCAAATATTGAAGATCCTGATGGTTGTTGTTGCTGTCTTTGCTGTTGTTTTAGATGAGCATTTGTGATTGTTGTTGGTTTAAATGGTGGCTGTTGTTGTTGTTGTTGTTGAGCAGTGCTGATGATATTGTTCTTATTACTGAAAAGTTATAATTTAATTTTACTATCCCAAGAATTCACACATATATCCCACTCTATATCTTATTTCAACTTAAATATTTAAATATCTGAATTGTCCCAAGACGTATCACCACATTCTCAGCTATCCAAAGCTCTTAGTTATCCCCTAGTTCTATAGGTGGGATAAGCTATAGAGTTCAATTCAAACACCTATCCCTCACCCTAAAATTGTTGGTTGTTGTTGTTCTTCTTCCCATAAAGGACTATTAGCTGGCGAAGGCATCCATTCCCAACTTGATCCATTCGCTTTAGGCCTTCTTCTTTGAGGTGATGGCGAAAATAATGCACGTAAAAAAGATTCAGGGCCTCTTTTCTTCAAAGGCGGAGGAATCATAAACCGTCCATAATTAGATTCTCTCAAACTTTGGGTACTAGGAGATTGACAAAATGATGCTGCTGTTGATTTGTGAGAAGAATATTGAGGTTGGGGTGGTGGTGGTGGTGGGGTGCCGGAAAGAAAGGAAGATTGAACTGAACGACTTTTACGTAGAGGAAGTGCTGCTGAGAAAATATTTAAATTTTTTTGAATATTTCAAAAATTATTTTTTAATAATTGATAAACCCTTCTAAATTTTTTCTCCCTTCCAAACTCACCAAATTGTCTTTGTTGTTGTATTAACAATTGCTGTTGATGTCCAGGACACCCATTTGCTGCACAACAACAGCAACAACAAAAATCATTATTAGCCCTTTGATGGTGATGATATCCATATAAGGAGGAAGGTTCCCCAACAATTAGAGAAGCTGGAGGAGCTGATACTGCAGTCGAAGTGGTAGACGGACAAGGGGATTCACAGTAAAAGAAATGATGGTTATTGATGCTTTGATTCTTAAAGAAAAATAAGAAAGGTAGCTTTATTGAGGGAAAACTTGTGGATAAGGAGAAGATTGGTTCAACTTTTGGGGTCACATTCTTAAATTAATAGGAATATTTGACAGAAATGTCCAAATTTTTTATAGGGGCCTTCTAATAGAGAGGGGAACTTTTTAAAATAAATTTTTTCGTTATACCGTTTGTTGTGTAATAAAAGTCCCCATTTTGGGAGGTTGTTGTTGTTGTAATGCAGGAAGTGTAGGAAGTGGTCCGCTTCTTAGAGAGGAGGAAGCCGGTGAATGGCACTGTGAACGAGTACAAGAAGAACAGGAATAATCATTGGAAGGAAGTTGGTAATGTGTGGAATTGTTTTGAAAAGCTTTTGGACTTGTCCAAAAATCTGTTTAAGAAGGAAAGGATTTTATTTAAATGAGAAAGACTATTAAGTAAAATGTCCCTTATAAAGAGATGCCGAGTACCTATCAAATAAGGGTCCAAGAAGTTGCTTATATCGAAGTGTTAAATTGAAGGGAACCTTCTAAGGATTTACACAAAAACCTAGATATATTTTTAATGAATCATTGGTCCAAAACTGTACGTATAATAGAGGTTTTGGAAGTTATAATATTGAAAAAATATATTTTGACAATCTCAATTGTTGTTTTTAAAGGAACGGATTATATAAAAATAAAAAAAGGATTAAATTGTCACCAACAATAAAAGATGAATGAGAAAAGGAGAGGAGAGGTGAATGGCAATTTGAGGAAACAAATGAAAAAATTTAAAAATAAACGGGAAAAGATAAGATTTTAAAAATAGGAAAGGAAGGGAATATTTTGAAGGACATTAAAAATTAAAAACTGTGGCGAGTTTAATTTTTATTAGAAACTTTAAAGATTTGAAGAAATAAAAAGGTAAGCTTTAGATGAGGTTAACGGCAAAACTGTAGGTGGAAAAAGAAATTTTATTGGGGGTTTACATTAATAAATTAGTGATTCGACTTAAAGACTTAATGGTTTTTCCCTATATTCCATATGGTTTTGGCCTAAGGAAGTAAATTATATGGATATCAGTAACTGGTGGAAATCAGAGTCAAATAGAAAATTTGCAAATACTTAATCTTTGGTGTTTTATAGAAAGAATAAATTTAGATTAATTCAAGTGTTCAAATTTGGAGTAGTAAATGTTTGTAATTCGAAATAGTTCGAGATAGGTGCAAGAATAGATCACAGAACAGAAATTCCTTATAATTAAAGATTTCCAGGATTCAGTGGGACTTATCCCACAGGATCTTATTTCGGCTCTAATTTATCTAAGGAAATGTCAAGTCCTATAAATATTAATTAATTAATTCCTAAATATGACTAAAACTATACATCAAGGTTACAATCTTTAAATAAATTTTTTAACTAAATTTCTTTCATAAATCTGTCACTAATTGTGTTTTTATTGACTAAAATAGTAAGAAAATTATTTTAAATTGTATTGGGGGATCTGCTGAAGTTCTCGCCAGATAAAATTTTGTGTGGCGCGCGCTAACACATTAAAAATAAAAAAGAAGGTCATGTTTATTATTTTTCTTGTTTTGATCCTTTTCTAATCCTCGGCGTAGATTAAAGGGCAGAAACAAGCAAAATTAAGGAGAAAATAAATAAAATGACACAAAAATTAAATAAAAAATTGTTTTTTTAGGAAAATCCTCTTAAAAATAAAAATATAAAATTATATTTAATCGGAATAAAAAAAATTATTTTTTATAAAAAAAGTTGTTTTTAATCTGTTTTGATTTTTAATACAAAAAATAATTAAAAAAATACAATCAAAACTTTATTTAAAATAAAAAATAATTTGTGAGAGAAAGGGAGAGATTAGGGGGAATTGAGAGACAGACAGAGAAATTTGGAGCTAATTTATGAAGAGAAAAAGGAAGATTTTTAATCACTGAAGAGATTAACTAAAAATAAATTATATATTTTATCAATCAGATAAAAGCTTTTTAATGCACTAATAAATTAAACAGGAATTATTAATTTAATGAATAATTACTTGGGGGGATTTTGTGTGATAATAAAAACAAGAATAAATAAAAGAAAATCAAAAATTAAAAAAAAACTTGCCTTGCCCCATCAAAGCCAATCCTTGTAAACCATTTATTGTTTCACACTTTGCAACAGCACTAGGCAAACAAAGACTACATTTGAGTTCTTGAATTGCTTCAGGTTGACAATAATGTTCCAATAAAAGGGGTAAGGAGGTAAATGTGCGAGGCTGAAAAAGCAAAAAAATTTAAACTAACAGTAAAAAGTAGTTTTGGATTTTCAATTTAAGTCTAACTACGAGATATATTTTCTGATGTTTTCTGTTTATTTGAATTTTTAATACACAAAACTTGCTCAAGACTAACATACACGATAATACCAAGCTAATGGAATACTGGGAAAATACGAGGGTATTATTGTGGACGAATTGAAAAAGCAGGCGGTTAGTGACAATTATTAACGCTAGTCTGAACATATCAGGACTGTCTAGTCCAAGCAGATTTCGGACAAAATAAATACCCAAGTTCCCTTTTCACATTAATAAACCTCCCTAATTATCTGTTTACATATTTTTAACGGAATAAACAACACACCGATCCCTGTAACCGAACAGACTGCCCAGAACCCACAGCTTCCAGCAAAAAATGATCCAATTGATCTGTATCCAATTTATCTTCATTACTAACATCTTCGTTTTCTTCTTCCTCTTTTGGAGGGGGTAATTTAACAGAGAGTGCCATAACAGAAATAGAGGAACGCTGAATGGAAGAATGAAAAGAAGCCGAAGTATCAGAATTTGTAAAAGAATTGTTGTTGTTGTTAATAATACGGCTAGAACCTCGAACAATAAAAACCTTAAAAGGGGTGGGATATAATGTCTCAAAAATTTTTTCGAAAAAAAACACAAACTCCAGGTTCTTGATGCCTTAAAAGATGCGAAGCTTCTTGTCTATTTAAATGAGGAAGGAACCATATAGGATGAGATTTGACTAGTTGTTCGAGTAATGTAACCCCCGAACGAAGAGAAGGGGATGTTGAATAGGGAGAGATTTTTTGATTAATTGAAGATTTGTTTTCTTCTTTTTCTTTTTGAATTTGTTGGTGTTGATAGGACACTAAATAGTGAAGGAATAATTTTAATGTGAAATTTTTATTTAAATCTCAGGTACTTTTTTAAATTCTTAATTTATTCCCCCTTCTATTTCATATATTCTAGGGTAGCACTCCGAGCCTTCGGGGTAGGAAGTGTTGGGGATCGGGTTTGCCGGGGAAGCCATGTCGGGGTTCAGGTCAAGGTTTTTAACAAAAACTCCGTCGGGGTCGGGTCGGGGGTCGGTGGAAAGGATGCTACCCTAATATGTATATTCCTCCTATGATAAAATGAGTGAGAAACTAGACATTCAATAAAGACTTGTAACTTTTATGAAAAATTAATTAAGAAAATACGTATTTTTTAATTAAAAAATTCTATTAACTAACTTTTGTATTTTCACAAAATTAAATGAAGAAAAAAATTTTTTTAAGTAAATTAAAAATATTTAAAAGCACATACATATGTATGTAATCTTTAATTTTGTGAATAATTTTACCTTTTTTTAATCATTCTAAAAATATTCTTAAAATTCCTTTTTTGAATCACACAATTTAAATTATTTAATTTCTCTTTTTAAAATTATTTTCTCTTTTCATTGCTTAATCATTTAAAAAAAACGTTCAAAAACGGGTGGGGGCTAACTCAAGGAATACCATCTCAACGAACAGATAAGTCAAGGAGACAAGTCAAGGAAAAGATAAGTCAGGGAAAAGACAGGTTAAGGAACGACCAACTCAAGGAATGAACCAACTCAAGGAATAATTTAAAAATCGGAATTTTTTGAAAAATCTGAATTTTTCCGAATTTTTTAATTCTGTTTTTAAAGTATTTATTTTTTTTAGAATTCCTATTTCTAAAAAATATTCTGATTTTTCAAAAAATTACGATTTTTGGTACTTTATTAATATCCCGCCCCCCACCCTTATTTGAGTCTCAGATTAGTTGTCCTTTTTTACTGTCAATCATTTATTTCTCTCTTTTTCTAATGTCCATCATTTTCTTCCCTCGAATATTATGTATAAGTAAAACGCAAGTTCAAAACTTATGATATTTGAGCGGTCAGCCCAAAGGGGCGTCCGGCATAATGGCGCAAAGCCATAACTCGAAAATCTTGAAGCAAGTTATGGCTTTGCGCTTTTATGACCGTGCGCCCTCTTGGGTTTTGAAGGAAAAATGATTGACATTAAAAAAGGAGGGAAATAAATTATTGCAGTAAAGAAGGAAAATTAATCCGAGACTCAAATAGAGGTGGGGGGGGGGGGCGGGATATTAATAAAGTACCCGATTTTTAAAATATTCCATGAGTTTGTCATTCCTTGACTTGTCGTTCCTTGATTTGTCTGTTCCACCACATCCCTTCTACCCCTTCTCTCCCTTTACTAAAATGGCTACTTTTTGTTTCCAACATCTAAACAAACCTTCTTCATTTTGTTCATTTCTTTGTTCATTACCAACAACAAAATTATTATTATTTGAAGACAATAGCCTTCTCTTCTTTTTATTTAAATTTATTATTCTTTTTTGTTCTCCATTTTCTTCCCCTTCTTTTTTAATTTTAATATCAAAATTATTTTTTTCGTGATGAAAATGTACATAAACCGTTCCTTGACATTGTCCACGAGGGGAGGATTTTTGTAAAGAAAAATCCCCACAAATTTGTTTTTCTTCAAGGATTGGTTTTGTAATTTCTAATTGTAATTCTGGAGGGACTAGTCGATCCAATGAAAATCGAGGTCTTTGGGTCTGTTAGAAAATAAAATTTAATATTTTTTAATGCTTTTTGTGAATAAAATTGAGGGAAGAAAATTAAAGAAAAATTTACTGGACGAGGGCTAAAAAAGAAAAACTTAGTTTTTGTAAAAGATATATACATACCGTATAACCTGTATTAATTACCCTCCCTCAAATAATTACCCTTCCTCGATTAATTACTCCCCTAGCGGAAGGTCGAAACAATAATTACACCAGGGTAGTTATTAAAGGATATATGGTATGCCATCAAAACATTCGCTGATAAACAGACAGGCCGTAAATTTGCAAGAAAATCTGAGGAAATTTTTTAAACTTAAAGGCGAATTCTATTGTTGATATTTTAATTTTGAACTTTTTTGAGAATACATACTCAGATATGCCGCTAAGTATAATCCATGGACAAATGAATTTTATAAATATTTGCGGATCTATCCGTAAAAAATAATTTTTTTAAATTTAATTTTTTAAATCCCCGCTCCCTTCTTTTGAATAAACTAAAAAGTTCACCTCACTAATATCCCCCACCAATCCATCATTATTATTAATTCCATCTTTATTATTATTTTCACTTCCAACACAATTATTATTATTAGATTCTAGCCAAGACGCAATAAGTAAACATTCAGGATCCCCTTCTGCCGCTAATTCTTTTAATAACAAATCTTCATTTTTCTGTTGTTCTCCCCCCTCTTCTTCCACATTTTTATTTACAAAATTAGTGGATAAGGGAGGTGGGGAACTTGGCGAATTTAGTGAGGAACCCGTTGCTTCTGGTGAGGCCCGTGGGCAGTGAAGAAATAATGGAGAGGAAGAGGAGATGGCTTGAAAATAATTAATTTTAATTAAATTATTTTGAATTAAAATATGTAATTTAAGACGGTGTTTAATAAAAGGGGACATTATAACTGAGAGATGTACATATACATGCAATATTAGCGCCCCTTATCTACTAAGTTGGGATAGGTAATTAAGACTATACCAGGGATCTAGCCGACATACAAGTTAAATTCCAGATTTTCGGGAATAGGATCGGTTATATCCCTGTACTACATATATAGAACGTTTCCGACATTTTTGGAAAAACTTTCCCAAACGTATAAAATACTTTTACGAAAGTTTTTTTAATTTTTAGATGAAAGTTGATTGCCCCTTTACATAATTATTACACTCAATTAAGTAGATTTAATTAATTTTATTTTTTTAAAAGAATTCTTTGAGGTTTGTAATATATATTTTTATAAATTAATTTGAAGGGGATAAAAGCAAGAAATGAAAAAAATAAAATGATGCTGCTAAAGTACTCATTTTTGTATTTGTGACAGTGAAGGAAAAAGGTGAATAACACACAAGGGATGATGAAGAATGGAAGGGGAGAAAATGGATGGATGGAGGATATATTTATTTTGAAAGAAAAAAGAAGAAAGAGCCGTTCTTCTTCTTTTTTTACGTTCCTCCGCGCGTTCCTCTCACAAACAAAATTGTAAAAATGTCAGCTACTGCCATTCTACATGCAAAAAAGTAGAACACAAAAAGTGGGGAAATTCTGGATAAACAAAATTCTTTAAATAAATTTTAGAGAATTCTTAGCAAGTTTGTATACAAAAATTGTGGTTACTATTTAATAAATTAAAAATAATTTTTTAATAATAAATTAAAGACAAAAGATTGAAAAATCTCTAAAAATTCAAACTTATTTATTAAAAATTCCAACCTATTTTGCCATTTTTCGTAATTTTTTGAACCTATTATAGCCTTTTTTTTGAACCTATTTAGGTGCCTATTATCGGTTTTTTGGACCTAAAAACTCGCTCTGTTAATAACTGTTAGTGAAAGGATGATGATCTAAAGGTGTATCAAAATAAAGTAGAGGTTAGACTTTATACAAAATAAAGTAGAGGCTAGACTAAGAGAAATCTTGTTTAAAAACCTCGGTTATCTAGATCAAAATATAAATTTTAAATCACGACTGACCCTCAGATCAAGTCTCTAATAGAAGCACATTGATGTTGACTGGCACTAAACAAAGTTATTTTTCCTAGTTAAAATAGGAGGAATAAATAATAGGTACTTAGTATAATGAAATAATTTTTTAAGATAAAAAAACTTTTCTACATATCTACCTAAATATTAACCTAGTCATTAATTTTATATTTTTCTAACTAAACAAGCTTTAAGGATAAAAAAGTGTGTCATTATTTAAAAAAAGGTTGTCCTAAAAAATATTTTTTTGTGTTAGTATTGAGGTAAATGCCAAACAAATGGGTGAGTAATAAATAAAGGGTCAACAAAAAACATAAAAAAATGTTTGGCTAGCCAATATAGTTTGAAGACCAAAATATTTACCTGGACAGCGATTTATTGATTCTGCCGAGCAAAAAATGGACGCGAAGATTTTTTTATATAAGGGGAAATGTGGAGGGGTAAAGTCTGAGTTAAAGCCTATTTTTGAGTAAGCAAAAAAATTTAAATTAAATTTGTATGCAAAAATAATTTTTATGAAAATAAAGAAATTTTTGCAAGTAAAAGGTTTTTTATTGGCAAAAGTGTTTTAATGAAAAACAAGTTTTGGAGGAGAATTATGGGGTATTAAAGAAGCAGAACTGATATTTCAGCCAAAGAAATTAAAACAGAATCAATGACTATAGGAGATCACAAGATCGATGCCAGCTCGAGCTAGACTTTTACCTTTCGCTTACTATTTTTTCAGGTTCCAGGCAGATTCCGAGGTGTCGGAAATCGGAACTGGCTCAAATGTCGGAACTCGGGAATCAAAATATTTTTCGAAAATCGGAAGGAAAAAACGCCGGAAATCAGAATTCCGACCCACCTCAGGTTCCAGGGGTTACTAGATTTGCCAGTTACTACAATTTATTTAAAAAAACAACTGCTGGCCTTAGATTAAAGGCTAAAAAGCTGAAAAATGTTTAATTCGTAAAAACAATTTTTTTAAAAAAAGAAAAAGTAAAATCTCTCAATTTTTTAAATCTTATAGAAAGAAAAAAAATTTTTTTGGGTTATTTTGAGTGAAAATAAATAAATATAAAGGTGTGTGTAAAGAAAAGATAATCGGCAATAAAAGAATAACACACAAAAACACCCAAACAATGTCCTCGAAAAATGTCCAACAAGAGTGGTCAACAACAACAAAAGCGGAAGTCACAAAACAAAAATTGGAGGGAAAAGGTGAGAAATGGAAAAAGAATGTGTGAATTTTTAGGGGAAGAATTGACAAAAAAAATAAAATTAAAAAATTATACAATTAATCAAAGAATGAGAATTACTTATAAAGATTTGAAAAACATTTATTTTTTACGTGGAAGTTTAGTGCTGGAAATTATTTTAAATTGTATTATTTAAAATTGAAGGAGTGTATCTATTAGGAATCAGATTTTTGAAAATCCTTGACCTGTCCCTAAAATCTGGAGTTTGATTTCTTGACCTGGACTAGATCCTGGGCCTGTAGTCCAGGAAAAACCCAGGAAGGTCAAAAAATGCCTGGACTCTGGGTACAGGAAAAGCCCAGGCCTTGGTCCAGGTAGCTCCATCCCTAGTATCTAGTAAATTAATTTTTAAATGTATAAAAGTTTTAATTATCTGGAGAATATTTAATTAAAAATAAAAAGTGTTTTATTTCAGAAATAATCGGAATAAAAAATTAAATTTATTTTTGAATTTAAATAAAATTCTTAATTTAAATTTCAGAAATTTTAACGAGAATTTTGCCAAAAATAATATAAATTAAATTAAAAAATAAATAAAAAATATTATTATATTTACTCAATATAAGGCAAACTTTAATGAAAAATTTTTCCAAAAACCCCCAAATTTATCAAAACTTTTTTCAAAAAAAAACAAAAAAATCTTTGAATGTCCTATTTTTATCCCTATATCTCCAATCCATTTAGAACAAAAAAATAATTTATCTACACCTGTTATTGATGAAGGGAGGAGGGGCTGGATAAATAAAAAATTGAAATAAAATCTGGGAGCAAATCTTTCCAACAGAGAAAAGTCACACAAAACCAGTGTTTTTAAATTAAAAATAGAAAAAAACTGGTTTGTGGTATTTAGATTATATAAAATTGATTGGAATTGGAAGGATAGAGGAGAAAAAAAGGGCATAAAAAGGGGGGATATAAATTAATTTTTAAATAAAAATCAAAAATAATTAATTATTGCTAATTTACATAATTTTGTAATGGTTAGGAGGGCTAAGATAAATGGACAAAATGAGAATATAAAGGAATCTAAAAATAAAAAAATCTGAGAGGGAAAAATATAAAAATTTTAGAATTTTTGTTTGGAGAAAGTGTATAAGATTATGTAGATACATATATGTATGTAAGACCCTTTTAAAAGAATGGGTTTAATGCTGAAGATTTTAAAGAGGGTTTAAAAAGATTATGGAGCAGTATTAAGACTTATTGTCTTCAGTCTTGGTTTAAAACTTTTCTTGGGGGTGTTCAGTATAGGGGTCATGGTTTTTTATGGAAAAATAAAAAATATAGCTTTTGATAAATAATCGTTGGAATAAAAGCGAAAGAAATATTTTATTTAAATATTTATTTATTTTTGTTTTTATGAATAAAAAATAGTATGTTAAAAATAAAATTTCGTGTTGTAAAAATTTTAGGGAAAGTTAAAAAATTTTTGTTTGGATGCATATGGATATCCCAAGAAATCTTGTGGGATTCCCTATTAAGAAATATTAGAGAATAATTGAAGGAAATGGATTTGTTAATTTAATTAATGATGAATAATAAAAATATTAAAATATTAATTGAAATATTAATATTAATTAAAAATAAAGAGTAAAAATAGAAAAAATTTAAATAATTAAAAAATAATAAAATTTGGAAATTTTGGAAGGCCAAGAAGCCAGAGTCATCAAAATAATGAAAAAATAAATACAAAATAATGGGAAAAAATAAATAGCTAATTGTATTAAGGGAAATGGATTTGGAAATAATTAAAAATAATTAAATATATAATTAACATTAATTAAAAATGTTAAAAAATTAAAAGTACAAATAGACTTTGTACTTAGGTAATTAAGCCTTTAGACAATAACAAGGCTATTAAAATTGTTTTTAAGAAAAAAGTGAAAATTAGAGCAGCTGATGAAGATGTATTGCCAGCCTTAGGAATTAAATAGCTATATAAAAAATATTTTTAATTGCCCACTTAAAAAAGAGAAGAAGCTGAATTGTTTGGGCCTAAACAAGTAACTGGCCGTTGTGTGTGAGTGTGATCTAAAACGGCCAATCACACCTGACAGCTAGAAAATCTCTCCATTCACCTTAACTCTCCCTCTCGCCCAATCTTTTAATAAACAAAAATATTTTTCTATAAAATTTCTCGCCCACCCCTTTTTTAATTCTATATAACTTTTTGTTTCACCTCTTTTTTTGGATCATTCGTGAAAGAAAAATAAAATTTTAAAATTAAATCTTTGTTATAAACCCTAGTATTAAGTTTAAAAATTCTTATTTAAAAAGAAGAAGAAAATTTAATTTGAGAAGATTTTAAAAAGAAGAATTAATTTTGTTTCGAATTCTTTTTGGCTCTGAATTTGGTCTCCTTCAGAGTACTTGGTGCCGCTAACAGGGAACTGAAGACGAATTTTCTGGTGTCATTTGACTCAGCTCGACTTAAAGTAATTTCTAAAATAATTTAAAAAAAAATAATCTCCAATTTGGATTTCAAACCAAATTCGGAGATTAATTAAATAAAAATTATTTTTGGGGAAAATTAGAAAATTTTTGTGAGGTTAAAACTAAAAGTATTGGTTTAATTAAAAATTTTTTTGGTAGTTCCTTGCCAGATTCAATAGCCAGATTATATTTCCTTCTCGGATTTAACTCTTTGCCAGATTCAATTCCCATATATTCAATTTTATC